CACCACAGACTCTCCGACCGGACAGAAGTGTAAGTGCCTCATGTTGCTCTGAGTCAATAATAGAAACAGCAGGTTGTGGTCTTATCTGTTCACAACATGTTGCTCTTTCTGCAGTGGAGATCAGGCACCAGGAACCCTCATACCAGTGTAGGACGGTGAGGAACCATAGAGCTCCACGGTCTCTCTCTCTATGGTCTCTCACTTTTCTCTCTCTCTCTGTTCCCTCTTTCTGGTCTTTCTCTCTGGTCTCTCTCTGGTCTCTCTCCAGTCTTTCTGGTCTCCCTCTCTGGTCTCTCTCTGGTCTCTCTCTCTGGTCGCTCTCTGGTCTCTCTCTGGTCTCTCTCTCTGGTCTCTCTCTCTGGTCTCTCTTTGGTCTCTCTCTGGTCTCTCTCTGGTCTCTCTCTGGTCTCTCTCTGGTCTCACTCTCCTGGTAAAGTGAGGAACCATGGAGCTCAGGATCTAAACCACGGTTCACCAGGTCCCAAATGACGCTTCATGGTTCCACCCTGTTTCTTTTACAGATGAATCTGGCTAAAGACTCTAAGACCGGCCTCAAGTGTAAGTGCCTCATGTTGCTCTGAGCTTTAAACGTGTTGTGCTGAGTGGTGTAAATGTGGTTAGTGTAGACCAGTGTCTCCCAAAGTGGGGTCCGCGGCCCCCTGGTGGGCCGCGAGGGTACTGCAGGGGGGCCGCGGGAGGTCATAAAAAAAATATATATATATATTATTATTTAATGTTAAATTTATAATGTTTTGTTTGTAATATTAAAATATTTGTGTTCATTATTTGACTTGAATAATCCACTGTAATCATTTTTGTATTACAATGTTTGTAGCAGAGGCTATTTCCCCAAAATAAAATAACCAGAAGAGCCTATTCTTAATGTTGTCTTCTTGGTTATTATTTTGGGGGGCCACGCAGACCCGTCAGATTTTTAAGGGGGCCTCGGTGTTACTGAGTTTGGGAATGGCTGGTGTAGACAGAGCCTGTGACCTGGTTCTGGAGCGTCCCGTTCAGCCTCAGAGCCACAGAAATGTCCTGTTCCTGCCTCTTCTCTGCTGCGGTTTGACCTGTTTATGATTCTGAGGCTGTCACGCAGTAAGCTCCGCCTCTTCAAGGTTCCGGAACTTTAATCCGCCAATCACTGGAGCTGCAGGGATTCACAGAAAAGTCTAAACCAAAATAACCAATAATATTCAAAAACCCTCTTCCCTCAGTCCTCAACCACACCTGGCTCTTCCCCCCATGGTTTCTCTCTCTGGTGTCTCTCTGGTCTTTCTCTCTGGCCTCTCTATAGTCTCTCTCTGGTTGCTCACTGGTCTCGCTCTGGCCTCTTTCTGGTCTCTCCTTGATGGTCCTGGTCTCTCTCTGGCCTCTCTCTGGTCTCTCTCTGGTCTCTCTCTGGTCTCTCTCTGGTCTCTCTCTGGTCTCTCTCTGGTCTCTCTCTGGTCTCTCTCTGGTCTCTCTCTGGTCTCTCTCTCTGGTCTCTCTCTCTGGTCTCTCTCTGGTCTCTCTCTGGCCTCTCTCTGGTCTCTCTCTCTGGTCTCTCTCTCTGGTCTCTCTCTCTGGTCTCTCTCTGGCCTCTCTCTGGCCTCTCTCTGGCCTCTCTCTGGTCTCTCTCTGGTCTCTCTCTGGTCTCTCTCTGGTCTCTCTCTGGTCTCTCTCTGGTCTCTCTCTGGTCTCTCTCTGGTCTCTCTCTCTGGTCTCTCTCTGGTCTCTCTCTGGTCTCTCTCTGGTCTCTCTCTGGTCTCTCTCTGGTCTCTCTCTCTGGTCTCTCTCTGGTCTCTCTCTGGTCTCTCTCTGTGGTCTCTCTCTGTGGTCTCTCTCTGGCCTCTCTCTGGTCTCTCTCTGGTCTCTCTCTCTGGTCTCTCTCTGGTCTCTCTCTGGTCTCTCTCTGGTCTCTCTCTGGTCTCTCTGTGGTCTCTCTGTGGTCTCTCTCTGTGGTCTCTCTCTGTGGTCTCTCTCTGGCCTCTCTCTGGTCTCTCTCTGGTCTCTCTCTGGCCTCTCTCTCTGGCCTCTCTCTGGTCTCTCTCTGGTCTCTCTCTGGTCTCTCTGTGGTCTTTCTCTGGTCTCTCCTTGATGGTCCTGGTCTCTCTGTGGTCTCTCTCTGGTCTCTCCTTGATGGTCCTGGTCTCTCTCCTCAGACTCTCTCATGGTGCCGCTGCAGCAGTCTTCAGTTCAGCAGCTGCAGATTCGTCATCGCTCGACCACAGCCAAGAACCCGCTGTGGAGCCACTGGTCCCAGGTCCTGACCGCTCCACCTGGTAACAGAACCATCAGCACACACCAGTACCATCTGCATACACTAGTACCATCAGTGTTCACCAGTACCACCAGTAGCATCAGCGTACCCCCTTACCACCAGTACCATCAGCACACACCAGTACCATCAGCACACACCAGTACCATCAGCATACACCAGTACCATCAGCATACAAAAACACTACATGAATAGATAAAGAGAAAGACCAGAGAGAGAGACCAGAGAGAGAGACCAGAGAGAGAGACCTCCAGAGAAAGAGACCAGAGAAAGAGACCAGAGAGAGACCATCACATAAGCCATGCCTTTATATATAACGGACTTCATGGTTCATGGTTCATCTTGAGTTCATGGTCTGAAACAGTCTTTCTGGTCTTTTCTTTCACTGCAGTGTTTGATGTTGACGGAGAATGACAGAAACTCTATGTTTTTGTTCTTTTTGCAGCGTTTTCACGAATCCGAAAGAAACGTGTGAATGAGACAACGGCGGAAGGGAAGGTCAGGCTGCAGCGAAGGCTCCGGATCAACTGGAAGGTAGGAGAGACCAGAGAGAGAGACCAGAGAGAGAGACCACAGAGAGACCAGAGAGAGACCGGAGAGAGAGACCAGAGAGAGGGACCAGAGAGAGAGACCAGAGAGAGAGACCAGAGAGAGACCAGAGAGAGAGACCAGAGAGAGAGACCAGAGAGAGAGACCACAGAGAGACCGGAGAGAGAGACCAGAGAGAGACCACAGAGAGAGACCACAGAGAGACCGGTAAGAGAGACCAGAGAGAGAGACCAGAGAGAGACCGGAGAGAGAGACCAGAGAGAGACCAGAGAGAAACCAGAGAGAGACCAGAGAGAGAGACCAGAGAGAGAGACCACAGAGAGAGACCAGAGCGAGAGACCAGAGAGAGAGACCAGAGAGAGACCAGAGAGAGAGACCAGAGAGAGACCAGAGAGAGAGACCAGAGAGAGAGACCAGAGAGAGACCGGAGGGAGAGACCAGAGAGAGACCAGAGAGAGACACCACAGAGACACCACAGAGAGACCAGAGAGAGACCGGAGAGAGAGACCAGAGAGAGACCAGAGAGAGAGACCAGAGAGAGAGACCACAGAGAGAGACCAGAGCGAGAGACCAGAGAGAGAGACCAGAGAGAGACCAGAGAGAGAGACCAGAGAGAGACCAGAGAGAGAGACCACAGAGAGAGACCAGAGAGACAGACCAGAGAGAGACCAGAGAGAGAGCAGAGAGAGAGACCAGAGAGAGAGACCAGAGAGAGAGACCACAGAGAGAGACCACAGAGAGAGACCACAGAGAGAGACCAGAGAGAGACCAGAGAGAGAGACCAGAGAGAGAGACCAGAGAGAGAGACCAGAGAGAGACCAGAGAGAGAGACCAGAGAGAGAGACCAGAGAGAGAGACCCCAGGGAGAGAGAGACCACAGAGAGAGAGACCAGAGAGAGAGACCAGAGAGAGGGACCAGAGAGAGAGACCACAGAGAGAGACCAGAGAGAGAGACCAGAGAGAGAGAGACCACAGAGAGAGACCAGAGAGAGAGACCAGAGAGAGAGACCAGAGAGAGAGACCAGAGAGACAGACCAGAGATACAGACCAGAGAGAGAGACCAGAGAGAGAGACCAGAGAGAGACCAGAAAGAGGCCGGAGTGAGACTAGAGAGAGAGACCAGAGAGAGATAAGAGAGAGAACAGGAGAGTGAAAAGAGAGAGACCAGAGAGAGACCAGGAGAGAGAGACCACAGAGAGATAAGAGAGAGACCAGGAGAGTGAAAAGAGAGACCAGAGAGAGACCAGGAGAGTGAAAAGAGAGAGACCACAGAGAGATAAGAGAGAGACCAGGAGAGTGAAAAGAGAGAGACCAGAGAGAGACCAGGAGAGTGAAAAGAGAGAGACCAGAGAGAGACCAGGAGAGTGATAGACAATTTACAGACCAGAGAGACAAATGAGCAGTGTCTGCAGTCAGAGCTCTACGTTTGATGGTGACTCTCTGGTCCTGCAGTCAGTCCCGAATGCGCTGAAGTACCATGTGGAGGTGGCGTCGCCGGGGGGGAAGGACTGCTCCTGTTCCACGGTCCTGCCGTGGACCAACTCCTCGTTGTACTATGAGTCGTTCGGATCCTTTGCTGCCGCCAACGTGACCATCAGAGCCGCCAACGCCGAAGGAGAGTCGCCCCCAGCGATGTACCATGTGGCCCCTGAGATCCCACCAGACCTCACATGTACCTACACTTGATACACCACACCTACTGCGAGAGACCAGAGAGAGACCAGGGAGAGACCAGGGAGAGACCAGGGAGAGACCAGGGAGAGACCAGGGAGAGACCAGGGAGAGACCAGGGAGAGACCAGGGAGAGACCAGGGAGAGACCAGGGAGAGACCAGGGAGAGACCAGGGAGAGACCAGGGAGAGACCAGGGAGAGACCAGGGAGAGACCAGGGAGAGACCAGGGAGAGACCAGGGAGAGACCAGGGAGAGACCAGGGAGGGACCAGGGAGAGACCAGGGAGAGACCAGGGAGAGACCAGAAAGAGACCAGGGAGAGACCAGGGAGAGACCAGGGAGGGACCAGGGAGGGACCAGGGAGGGACCAGGGAGGGACCAGGGAGGGACCAGGGAGAGACCAGGGAGAGACCAGAGAAGGACCAGGGAGAGACCAGGGAGAGACCAGGGAGAGACCAGGGAGAGACCAGAGAGAGACCAGAGAGAGACCAGGGAGAGACCAGGGAGAGACCAGGGAGAGACCAGGGAGAGACCAGGGAGAGACCAGGGAGAGACCAGGGAGAGACCAGGGAGAGACCAGGGAGGGACCAGGGAGAGACCAGGGAGAGACCAGGGAGAGACCAGAGAGAGACCAGGGAGAGACCAGGGAGAGACCAGGGAGAGACCAGAGAGAGACCAGGGAGAGACCAGGGAGAGACCAGGGAGAGACCAGGGAGAGACCAGGGAGAGACCAGGGAGGGACCAGGGAGGGACCAGGGAGAGACCAGGGAGAGACCAGAGAAGGACCAGGGAGAGACCAGGGAGAGACCAGGGAGAGACCAGGGAGAGACCAGAGAGAGACCAGAGAGAGACCAGGGAGAGACCAGGGAGAGACCAGAGAAGGACCAGGGAGAGACCAGAGAAGGACCAGGGAGAGACCAGGGACAGATCAGGGAGAGACCAGGGAGAGACCAGGGAGAGACCAGGGAGAGACCAGGGAGAGACCAGGGAGGGACCAGGGAGAGACCAGGGAGAGACCAGGGACAGATCAGGGAGAGACCAGGAGGGACCAGGGAGAGACCAGAGAAGGACCAGGGAGAGACCAGGGACAGATCAGAGAGAGACCAGGGAGATACCATGAAGAGAGAGACCTGACAGAGTCCTGAGAGACAGACTAGAGAGAGAAACCAGAGAGGGACCAAAAAGGGACGAGAAGGACCTGAGAGAGAGAGAGACCAGGGTGAGACCAGAGAGGGACTATAGAGAGATCATAGACCAGGTATTGATAATACAGAGACCAAAGAACTTGCACATGGTCTCTCTGAGTCAAACAGTGATTGGTCCTGGTCTGATTTTTTGCAATATTTTACTTCTACAAGACTCAAAAAATCACCGACCTGTAGCTGTGTTTAGCTCCCTCCTCGCTCCAGTCCCGAAGGTTTAATTTGAACACATGGTTTTTCTGTGGGTAAACTTTGATGGTTGTTTTTCCAGTGTGTAATAAAACAGCTCTGAAGAAACGCGTCTGCAGACAATGGTACGAACTCTGGGACGGGAGAGCGAAAGAACAGACTCTCATCTCGTTATTGCCCGAGAAGAACAACATCGAACCAGGTGAGTCCAGAGAGACCAGAGGGGGACCAGAGAGAGAGAGACCAGAGAGAGAGAGCAGAGAGAGAGACCAGAGAGAGAGAGCAGAGAGAGAGACCAGAGAGAGAGACCAGAGAGAGAGAGACCAGAGAGAGACCATAGAGACCAGAGGGAGACCAGAGAGAGAGAGACCAGAGAGAGAGACCAGAGAGAGAGAGCAGAGAGAGAGACCAGAGAGAGAGACCAGAGAGACCAGAGGGAGACCAGAGAGAGACCAGAGAGAGACCAGCGAGAGACCAGAGAGAGACCAGAGAGAGACCAGAGAGAGACCAGAGAGACCAGAGGGAGACCAGAGAGAGACCAGAGAGAGACCAGCGAGAGACCAGAGAGAGACCAGAGGGAGACCAGAGGGAGACCAGAGGGAGACCAGAGAGAGACCAGAGAGAGACCAGAGAGAGACCAGAGAGAGACCAGAGAGAGACCAGAGGGAGACCAGATAGGGACCAGATAGGGACCAGATAGGGACCAGATAGGGACCAGATAGGGACCAGATAGGGACCAGATAGGGACCAGATAGGGACCAGAGAGAGAGACCAGAGAGGGACCAGAGAGGGACCAGAGAGGGACCAGAGAGGGACCAGAGAGGGACCAGAGAGGGAGACCAGAGAGGGACCAGAGAGGGACCAGAGAGGGACCAGAGAGGGACCAGAGAGGGACCAGAGAGAGAGACCAGAGAGAGACCAGAGATGGACCAGAGAGGGATCAGGGAGAAAAAGCTTTGCTAAAATGTCGGTGGTTGTGTTTTTGTTTCAGAGCTGAAAGACTTTGTGCCGTACATTTACTACGAGCACAAAAAGTGCGTCACCAGGAGAGTGTGTCTGTTCTACCAGCAACAAGGAAGTATGTGACATCACCTGTGTCCAGGACCAGTGAGACCAGAGACCAGTGAGTCCAGGGACCAGGGACCAGAGACAAGAGACCAGGGACCAGAGATCAGGGAACAGGGAACAGGGAACAGGGAACAGGGACAAGTGAGACCAGGGATCAGGGACTAGAGACCAGAGAGAGATCAGAGACCAGGAAAGACCAGGAAAGACCAGGAGAGAACAGGAGAGACCAGGAGAGACCATGAAAAACCATGAGACCAGAGAGAAAGAAAGAGAACAGGGACCAGAGAGAGACCAGAGACCATGAAAGACCAGGAGAGACCATGAGAGACCAGAAACAGCAGTTGTGGTCATTTGTGTTCTGTTGTGTGTCCAGAGCCGGTCAGTCCTCCTCAGAACCTGGTAGAGTCTCTAGACTATAAAACTGTGTCCTGGAACCCGATACCGAGCCAAGACCAGCACGGCCTCATCATCTACTACAGCCTGTGTGTGCAGAGCGGTCAGACAGGACCAGGTGAGACCAAAGAGTGACCAGACAGAGACCAGGTGAGCCCAGAGAGAGACCAGAGGGAAGGACCAGCGAGAGAGGCCAGAGAGAGACCAGAGGGAAGGACCAAAGAGAGAGACCAGAGAGACCAGAGAGAGACCAGAGAGAGACCAGGGAGAGACCAGAGAGAGACCAGAGAGACCCAACATGTATTGTCTCTTATGTGCCGTCTCATCATAATGATCAAAATATGGTTCTGGGTTCGAATACCGGTCGGAACGGGGTCTTTCTGAGTGGAGTTTGCATGTTCTCCCCATGCTTGCGTAGGTTTCCTCCGGTTTGCCCTACCACTAAAAACATGCTCACTAGGTAAAATCCTCCAGCTCTGGTCCTGACCAAGCCGAGCATCAACATCTTGTCTCTAATGTCCTCAGATTGCAAAAACATCTCGTCGTCTAAGAGAAGCTTCGATCTGAACGACCTGAGTCCAGGAGCCATGTACAACGTAACTCTGTCAGGGGCCACAGCAGAGGGAGAGGGGCCCCGAGCCAGTGTCACCATCGACACGACCCCAGGGAGACCATACAACAGTACGCACACACACACAGATACACACACACGCACACACAGAGCCACACACAAACATACACACACAGACACTCACACAGATACACAGACACACACACACACAGAGAGACACACAAACATACACACACAGACACTCACACAGATACACAGACACACACACACACACAGAGAGACACACACACACACACACACACGCACACACAAACATACACACACAGACACTCACACAGATACAAAGACACACACACACACAGAGAGACACACACACACACACACACAGAGCAACGGGCAGTGACAGAGACACTTAAAGTAGTACTAGAATGTAATATGCTGCTATCCAGAATATATAAGTACAATCTGTGTTTATAATATCTCTGGTGTTCATTTTGACATGTTCAGATAAATTATGTTAAAAAAACGGCTTTAAAGTCGCACTTTTTCAATTCCGCATAGAAACGCTAGGGGGCGCCAAAATGGCGGCGATGACGTAGGAGAATGACCTCTCACAGCAGCAGCAGCAGTCTGGGCTGAATCTGGAGGTTTCACTGTCATCTGAACAAGGTATAAACATATTTTCATCAGTTTTGTACATAATAGTGTGCAACTCTTTCAACCTTTTAGCCTTATTTGTGAGATTCAAGCTAATTAGTGTTGGGCCAGTTAGCTAACTCTACTTGATATCATAAAACATGCTAACAAGGCTAATATTCGTTTTTACATTATGCCAGTCTTTGGTTGCCGTAGATTTATTTACCACATTGTGGTAAATAAATCTAAGGCAACCAAAGTGAGTTGCACACTATTATGTACAAAACTGATGAAAATATGTTTATACCTTGTTCAGATGACAGTGAAACCTCCAGATTCAGCCCAGACTGCTGCTGCTGTGAGAGGTCATTCTCCTACGTCATTGCCGCCATTTTGGCGCCCCCTAGCGTTTCTATGCGGAAGTGAAAAAGTGCGACTTTCAAAGCCGTTTTTTTTAACATAATTCATCTGAACATGTCAAAATGAACACCCGAAATATTATAAACACAGATTGTACTTATATATTCTGGATAGCAGCATATTACATTCTAGTACTACTTTAAATCAGGATTGACTAAAATACCATAAGTGTTCTCTGTGTGTCAGTAACCATGGCGATGAGGCACCAGTGTTGTGTACAGTCTATGGTATTAAACCTCCGCTCTCTGTCTGCAGTGGTTCTTAGTCTGGGTTTGCTCATCTGCTTCTTCCTGCTTTCCACCGGGTTCACTTTCATTTTCACAAGGTAAGTGAGAGACCCCCCACACGTCAGAGAGAGAGACCAGAGAAAGAGACCAGAGAGAGAGAGACCAGAGAGAGAGACCAGAGAGAGAGACCAGAGAGAGAGAGAGACCAGAGAGAGAGGAGAGACCAGAGAGAGAGGAGAGAGACCAGAGAGAGAGAGACCAGAGAGAGAGACCAGAGAGAGAGACCAGAGAGAGAGAGACCAGAGAGAGAGAGACCAGAGAGAGAGAGACCAGAGAGAGAGGAGAGAGACCAGAGAGAGAGAGACCAGAGAGAGAGACCAGAGAGAGAGACCAGAGAGAGAGACCAGAGAGAGAGACCAGAGAGAGAGAGACCAGAGAGAGAGGAGAGAGACCAGAGAGAGACCAGAGAGAGAGAGACCAGAGAGAGAGGAGAGAGACCAGAGAGAGAGAGAGCATGGAGATAGACTAGAGAGAGACCAGAGAGAGAGAAGAGAGAGAGAGACCAGAGAGAGAGACCAGAGAGAGAGACCAGAGAGAGAGAGACCAGAGAGAGAGACCAGAGAGAGAGGAGAGAGACCAGAGAGAGAGAGAGCATGGAGATAGACTAGAGAGAGAAGGACCAGAAAATGTCATGTTTTAAATATTAGAGTTTTTTACAAACTTCAAACTAACTTTAATCTTTTTATTGTGAATGAAACCATTAAAACTTAAACAGAGAATTCTTTAAAGCCACAGTTTTGCCGCTGACAAAGATCTTTCTGTAGAATCCAGAACAAGCTGCTTCCTCCGCTGCCGTCTCCGCTCATCCCCGACTTCGCCGCCTGCAAAGCTGACGTGCAGGTAACACAGGTTTAAAGCTGGGAGGCGTAACTTTAGCCTCAAATGCAACACACTGGAAAAAAAATCCCTCAAAAAAATATGAAAATAAGTAAAATACTGCTTAAAATAACAACAATGATCTGAGAAGAAGAAAATATGACTTGACTAGATTTAAAAACACACATTTCAATTATTTACTCATTCATTAAACTCTAAAAATGTAGCATCACAAACTTATTTTATCTAAACAAGAAAAGTGGTCTGGAAATAAAAAAAATACTTCAGAATTTTTCTCTAATAAAATTATGAGGTATTATTATTATTATCTCAAAACTGTATTTCAAGTATGTTTTTGTAATTTTTAGTAAATAAATCTAATAAACATAAATAAATAAACCACAGATGCCAAATACAGTAAAGCAAAAAAAGAGATGAGAATGTATATTTACACTCATAACGCTCATAATCCACCCACACACTGGAGATTTAGGCAGATATTCAAGAAATGATAAATGATAAATGATTAGTTTTTCTTAAAGTGTCCATGGAGGATGTAGCCTCTTTACTGCAGGTTCTTCTCAGTTTTAATGTTTAGCTCCGCCCCCAACTCGCTCACAGGCTTCTCATTTCCACTGCGCTCTCATCCCATGGAGCCATCTAGTTTTATTTGTGATCTGATACGTATGCTAACATTAGCATTAGCGCAACTTAAGCTGTACAACAATCACTGATGAAATGGTACAAAAGCAACGCACTGCTAACAAAATATAGTGAAAGATTAAGGCTAGTTTTGCGTCCGAGCGTAGATAGTCCGAGCGTAGATAGTCCGAGCGTAGATAGTCCGAGCGTAGATAGTCCGAGCGTAGATAGTCCGAGCGTAGATAGTCCGAGCGTAGATAGTCCGAGCGTAGATAGTCCGAGCGTAGATAGTCCGAGGCGGTCTCGCAGGTCTCTCCCATAGACCAGTCTCTCCAGAGGATACGATGTAAGCTAGCTCTGTTCAGGGCTTGGTTTCTTCTTTGATCATGTTGTGGCTTTGGTTCTCTCTTCTCTTCCTCACTGTTGTGTCATTCGGGCTGTTTTGCTGTGTCTGCAGTTACAGCCAGAGGAGTTATAGCCACTTATGCTAACATGCTACTGTGTTTAGCAGCGCTGTAGAGGCTAGAGGAGGCGTGGCCTGTTTGTAACAGCTCCGCTCCCTGTTCTGTGATTGGAGGAGAGCGGGTGTCACACTAAGTTTCTACTCAGCACTTGTTACGGCCTGAGTTCATACACAGCTGAATCAATGAGCTCTAGTTTTCAATTAAATTACGGATTATAATACAACTTGTATGTAGTAATAATCATTTTTATGAACTCATTAGAAAATAAATCGGGTATAGCTTCTTTAACGCTAGTTACAGCTTTGTAATGATAAATGTTTCAGTCAGGGTTAAATGTTTAGCACAGGGTTAGTACTCGGCACATTCGCTGGACTAAGATCTCAGGCTTCTTCCACAACATCACAAATCCCCAAAGGTCAAACTAATGTTGTGAGATCAGAGCTTTTGACTCTACACAAAGTCCTTTGGAAGTCTGTGTCATTACAGTCTCTGCTCCTAACGTTGCTCATGTCTCACGTCTCCAGGAGGTGATGGAGGAGGAGGTGCTGACGGTCACACTGCTGCAGCTCCAGCCCGAGTGCTGCCCCCTGCAGGACACAGAGGAGCACTGCAGCCTCTCCCACCTGCACCAGGAGGACCAGGACCACCCCTCACAGCAAGAGGACCGGGACAAACCATCAAACCAGGAGCCGAGCGATGTGCAGCCGCTACAGCGCGACATCTGTCTGCTCATCTACAAGAACGGACTGGTCTTTGACTCCAACTCAGACTCTACTTAACCACACAACTGTTTTAGTGATGAAGACTATGAGGGACGAGTCCGGCCGTGGACTGTATACAAATGCACAATGCTAACACGCTGGCTCAGTGAAGCGCAATAGGGCAGTGCTCAAGATTTGGCTCCAACTCACTCTGGTTCCTGTTTATGAAGGTTATTTTGTGTTTTTATTATCAACACTTTTTTTTTGCTTTTGAATTCTATAAACTGTAACAAAAAAGTATTCAGTGTAAATAAATTCAATGTTTTAATATTCAGTGTCAAAAAATGTATTGTTTTAGAATTCAGTGTCAAAATATTCAAGGTTGAAAAAAATTTAGTGTCCAAAAATTCGTTTACACAGTAGTAGAGTATACATAGTTCCCACAGACCAATGAATGTCACATGACCTCCTCGGAGACGCCATCTTTGATGGCACGCTGCTGTGTTTGTGCATTCCATTAAACAGAAGAATGAGAATAAATGTAGATATTCAAACGCAAATTGGAAAAAAGGGCAACTTTTGAGCAAATAATTGTATATTAATACAATGGCACCACAGTTTAACGTGCTACGGACATGTTTTACATATTTGATCAAATTATGCAGCAAAAATTAACAAGCAATGCAAACATTTCTCAAAAACTTTAGATTTAATACCAGTTGGAGCTCCATTTAATTATTTTAATTATATTAACAATTAATTTAATTAATGCTAATGCCACACGGACACTCTGGATTGCTGTTATTGTTTATTTCCGCGTTTTTGACCGTATGTTTTGGTGAATGGTGGGCAACTGATTTTTCCAGGCGTAAAGAGCAGTTTATTTTATGACACAGATCTTTTTACAGAAGCAATGCTGTTTGTGAACATTGTTTTAGCCCACCATAGAACTATTATTATCTATTTAATACATTTACGTTGCCCTCGAGAGCCTCGGACGCGACACCGATCCTCCTCATAATAAATTAATCTAAATAATGAAACTCTCTAGTTACCAGCTATCAGCATACACAAGTTAGTACTGAGTAAATTACGTCTGTCAACACATTATAAGATACGATACGCACCTGACACAAAGTGCTCCGAGCATATTCTTGCGTGTTTTGAGGGAGTTTCTTGCCTGTTTATCTTCGCAAGCCATAACCTCCGTCGTTGTTCAGACAAAAGCTTAGTCTTCTCACATTCATGAAGTCTAATCAGGCCCGTCCCAAGGGGGGTGCGAGGCCCTGTGCGAACTCGAAACGCGAGGCCCTGCCCTGACACTTTTTTCCCAGATCTGAGGAAAGTTTTTCCTGTTATAATCTTTGACATGAATTCAGCACCACCTCGCGCGGTGCTTGACGAGATCAGCACGCGTGTAACCGAGTGTCTTCGCTCCTATGCAGCGTTTGGCGCGCGCACGTACACACGCACACACACTCTACGGCACTTGGTATTGCAATATTGGTCGCGGTCTTTTTAGCTGACATGTCTCTTTCGTCCTGTGGCAAAATGGTAGAGCAACTCAAAAGATTGAACCAAAAGGAGTCTTTTTCTTCTAATAGTTAGATTTTGGCAAAATGCGCCAAAATGGCTATGAGGCGGAGTCAATATTATTTTTTTCTCATCAAATAACGTTTTTGCCATGCCTCCACACACTCTGACAACATACGCTCCTCCTCCTCCACACTGACAACAACAAAATACTCTTCACCTCCTCCTCCACACACTCTGACCACAACAAAAACACTCCAGCTAGCTAAAGCTAGACATACAGTGTGTTTGCTAATGCTTTTAAAAATATGTTTTTGATGTGGATATTCGGACTAAACATTGGCAATAGCAGCGCGCACACACCTGTCACACCGCTGATCCTCCTCCTCCTCCTCTGCTCACACAAAGGGGTCTGCTCCTCTGCTCACACCTGTCTCACTGCTCCTCCTCCGCGAGTATCCATCTCTCCTACACTGCGATCATTCCCGTTACTTTCTTTGTATCTCACTCAGACACTGCTAAAGTTATCTGACAGTTTTTTCGGAGGACCCGTTGCATACATAGCTGCCCGCGCGCCTGCCTGTTTACAAATCGCTTTTGGTGAAAATTTGACTTTACTTGTAAAAATGTTCTTTTGATCAAACGAAATCAAAGAGGTCCAGAGAAAGGGGTTTAGGGTTCCAAATTTGGAGTGCAGTCTGCCCTTTGGGGACCCTTGAACTAGTGTATTTATAAAATAAAATAAAAGGAAGGAAGATTGCGAGGCCCCTGTGTGGTGCGAGGCCCTGTGCGACGGCACAGGTCGCACAGCCCTTAGGACGGGCCTGAGTCTAATGATGGGTATACTGTAAAATCCAAGTTTAACTGAACCTCCGGCACGATTAGAACATCCATTGACCCAGCAGGAGACGACCATTTTCAACTTTATCACACGTTTCAGCTTCTTTTTCTATTTTTTTTCCCACAGAATGCCAGCACAAATGGCGCCGGGTCGGCAAATCCCCGTATGTAGTGACGTCATGTGGGAACTATGTATAGAAACAGACGCTCTGAGGAGGAGCAGAAGTACGATGCCTTTACAAACACACGTGAACACTATATTCAATAACTAACATGTCAGTGTCAGTCTATCATTGTGTCCCATTGACGCACAAATACGTCAAATGCCTTTTTCGCTATTTTCACGTTCCCAGATGTCTATTGTATCTAATATGTATGGGGATGACTTGAGACCATATTTTATCGAGCCAGCAGGTGGCAGCATTTCTCTCTGAATGGTTTGAAAACATGTAGGTGCACATGTTGTGCCTCTTTTTTCTCAACTTTCTGGTGATTTCAGTAAAACTTCCCTCTACTCAACGGAGGATTACAGGGGAACGAAAAAAGCTATAAACAAAATTCTTTTTGCTGAGGAAAGTAGACAGTCCATTCTTTTAGAATCTGGTGTCGGATTTCAGATAGTCATAGTACACAATATTCTGTGGGTCTTGAAAAATCAGTAAAAATCATCATAAATGGCTGGCACTGTGGGAGTACCTGTTCTGAAATAGGCTGGCATTCAATGAGTTCAGGAGGCTGGTACAGTGGGTTTCTTTTCTCCCTAAAGAACCGATCCTTCATTCCATCTTGGTTTCACTAAGATGTTAAAATGTAAGAGTAAAGATAGAATAATTATCAGAGGTCTAGGTACATAAAAATGAACAACATAATTAACGACCCCTGAGCATCTGTCTCTAAAACAGCAGGTTTCGTCCTTGCTGCACTGCTAGAATAGTATACACATTGAAATTGGGAACATGGTACATATGTCACACGAGAACCACAGACCCCGTGTACTGGGCCTTACTGTGGTTCATTTTAGCTTAGCATTAGCGAAGAGTAGCTTTGGGGAATCGCCAAAACGTAGAAGCCACCTGCGCGGAGCTAGCTAATAGTGATGGGTCCAGCAACACTGATACACCGGCGCATGTGCCGAGTTCGTTTAGCGAAACCTCGTATCGGCGCGCGTGTCGCTTTATGAAAAAGCCACGTGACCAATACAGCCGCAGTGTCGCTTGTCACCGACACGGCAAACTATGTTTAAAAGGTTCCGCATCTGCAAGTGTCACCGGTATGAACCGCTGTCAGAAAAAGAAAATAACCCTTTCAAAAAGGAAAAGCATCCCATTTTACAGCATAAAAAATGGAACCTGCAACTAAAAGAAAGTATTCTGCAGTGTGATACTGCAAATAACAGCAAATAAGGCAATGTTTGTATTTTACATTTCACGCTTTATCTACAATCAAGTTTTAGTTTGAAACGCAAAATCTAGTTAGGCATGGTGGATGAGTGGATAGCGCTCTCGCCTCGCGTTTGAGAGAACTGGGTACGAATCCCTGTCGGACCTCAAAGGTTTATGTTGACATCACAGTCTTGAAAAATAATTTTGAGAAATTGAAGTGTAGAAAATGTCAAAGGTTTTTTCAAGTATACTTTAGTTGCCAGGGTTTACAGTGCACTTTGGACATGCTTATTGTTTTGAAAAAAAAAAACAAAAAACAATACATCACTCAATGACATTTTGCTTAATGAATACATTCACAACTATCACTTTAATTTTCACATAAAATAAAATAACACAGACAATGCAGTAACGTAATATTGTGTGCAGACAAGTATGTAAAGCTCATTGAATCAGTGAGTTGGATGTAATGATTTATCAGATCCACCAGGTGTCAGTATAGAGCAGCACAAGCAACACTGTTGCGGCACAGTATCAACACAGTTTGTTGGATGTGCCGAAACGATACGTGAGGTTTCATTTACCCATCACTACTAGCTAATGATAAGCTAAGGTAAAAACATGTTCAGAAAGTACACAGTGGTTTGTTTCATACCAACTAATGATGAGAAAAGCACTCACCAGTTTTTGCTGTGGACATGATCAGATGAACAGGACAGTCGTGTTCTGGCCCCGGCTACATCTATGGAGGATTGGCTCTTTCTTGATTTACCCGGAAATCAAGCATGACATTTCAAGCAGCGAAAAAAAATGCAACACATTTTTGGACACTGAATTTTTTTCAACATTGAATTTTTGGACACAGAATTTTAAAACAATGATTTTTTTTATACTGAATTTTAAAACATTGAATTTATTTACACTGAATACATTTTTGTTACAGTTTATAGAATTCAAAAGCAAAAAAAAGTGTTGATAAAAAAAACACAAAATAACCTTCATACCTGTTGACATTCAAAAGTAAACACCTTTAGCTCAGTAACTCTCCTTTGTCTTTGTAAATCCAGATTTGAGACATATAAATATTGACCAATGAGATGCCTTTATCCGCGGGTTGCTAAGGAAAACTCCGGCTTGCCTTAGCAACCGTCTTAGCAACACGTCCAAGGCACACAGGTCACACGGTCGAAACGAATGCATGGAAATTGGCTCCAGCTAGCTTATCTTCAAATGGGCTTCTTCCGCATTAAGGCTAATATTAGGTGATGTCACACTATACGCTCCATGAGGCCTCTCCTTATGCTAGCGATTATATTAGTAATTTGACACCTAGAGCTAGCTGCAAGTTTGGTACCAATCATGTGGCAGTGACAGTGTGAGGGGCCGAAGAGGACTTAAAGCTGAGGAACCTAACTTTTAAAGCAGACCTAATGTCACTATTTTCTTCACCGTAAACGTCAAACTCAGTCACGCCTTCAAAAATATTTTAATTGTTCCTTTCATGGACATTGGTCTCTCCCTATGTTCTATATTTTTGTGTCTTAACTGTTGATTCTCTGATCTGTGTTGGTGATTTCAATGGTTTTGTAAAGTCCTCCGAGAAAACTGCTGTTGTGATTTAGGGCGATACAAGAATAAATTGTTTTGAATTGTCCCATTCTCTCCACATGGTAATGACAGAACACAATCAGACCTATTGTACATGTTTTTAGTGGTAGGGCAAACCGGAGCATCTGGAGGAAACCTACAAAGACACGGGGAGAACATGCAAACTCCACTCAGAAAGACCTGGAGGGGACTCACGGGGATCTTTCTGACACAAACATGTTGTGGTCTGACGAGTGTTATTTATGGAACAGAAAGTTACGTACCTCGGCTTTAACGGGACGTGGAGCTGGAACAAGGACCTGAAACCCCGGCTTCCCGCTCGAACCTGCAGAAGTGAAACCGCCTCCTCGCTTTCAGTGGGCGGGGCTAGGGGACAGGTGAAAACAGGTCATTTCAATCAAGAGTAGACTGTGGTGAGGAGCACTTTAGCCTCTATACATTTGTTTGAAAAGCATTAAGTCACGAGTCTATAATGAACAGGACTTAGATTTAGTACAAATCTGACTTTTATATTATTATATTGTTTTGTGACTTTATAGAGTCGTCTTCATTAGTTCACACTTTGTTACATGTAGCTTAGCAAGACAATTTTTTTTTTTTTTATCAGTTGTTCCTACTATCCTCCCCATGTGCAAAAAAAAAATAGAAGAATTGTAATTGTAGGTATGACATGCCATGGTCGCCACATTCACATATTGCCACACAAGTTAGTCATAATAATGGAAAATGTGTTCAGGGGCCACTAAAATTGGTTCCACGGCCGGTTTTGACCCGCGGGCCTTGTGTTGACAAGTGGGTCAATGACATTATTGAAGCAGTGGTCATTATCAATACCTTTGCTAGGGTTTATTTTACCCTTACATGTTTTTAGCAAAGTATAACAAGCTTTGGTAAATGTCTAGTACCGGGACAGAACCATGGATCTATAATAATAACGTACAGAACCATGAATCTATGATAATAACTGACAGAACCACGGATCTATAATAATAACGGACGGAACCATGGATCTATAATAATAACGGACAGAACCATGGATCTATAATAATAACGGACAGAACCATGGATCTATGATAATAACTGACGGAACCATGGATCTATGATAATAACTGACGGAACCATGGATCTATAATAATAACGGACAGAACCATGGATCTATGATAATAACTGACGGAACCATGGATCTATAATAATAACGGACAGAACCATGGATCTATAATAATAACGGACAGAACCATGGATCTATGATAATAACTGACAGAACCATGGATCTATAATAATAACGGACAGAACCATGGATCTATGATAATAACTGACAGAACCACGGATCTATAATAATAACGGACGGAACCATGGATCTATAATAATAACGGACAGAACCATGGATCTATAATAATAACGGACAGAACCATGGATCTATGATAATAACGGACGGAACCATGGATCTATGATAATAACTGACGGAACCATGGATCTATGATAATAACGGACGGAACCATGGATCTATAATAATAACGTACAGAACCATGAATCTATGATAATAACTGACAGAACCACGGATCTATAATAATAACGGACGGAACCATGGATCTATAATAATAACGGACAGAACCATGGATCTATAATAATAACGGACAGAACCATGGATCTATGATAATAACGGACGGAACCATGGATCTATGATAATAACTGACGGAACCATGGATCTATGATAATAGCGGACAGAACCATGGATCTATGATAATAACTGACAGAACCATGGATCTATAATAATAACGGACAGAACCAAGGATCTATTATAATAACGGACAGAACCATGGATCTATGATAATAACTGACAGAACCATGGATCTATAATAATAACGGACAGAACCATGGATCTATGATAATAACTGACGGAACCATGGATCTATGATAATAACGGACGGAACCATGGATCTATGATAATAACTGACGGAACCATAGATCTATGATAATAACTGACGGAACCATGGATCTATAATAATAACGGACAGAACCATGGATCTATAATAACTAGAAACTTGCAATGGCTGAAGCCATTGCGATTGACTGCGGAACAGATCTAATGTGGAAATCTGCTAAAAAAAATCCTTGAAATCCTTTAAAAGGCCTTGAAACTGTTAAAATACTTGATAGATATTTGAAACTCCTGAAGTCCTTGAAATTGTTGAAACCTTTAAACTCCTGAAATCCTTGAAACTGTTGAAACATTGAAACTCCTGAAATCCTTGAAACTTTTTTTAAACCTGGAAACTGTTGAAAGTGTGGAAACTCCTGAAATCCTTGAACCTCCTGATATCCTTGAAACTGGTTAAATTCTTAAACAGTTGAAATCCTTGAAACTACTGAATGTATTGAAAGTGTCCTTGAAACTGAAAAATCCCCTCACCGCTGAAACAATTTGGTTCCTGTAACTAAGGAAACCTGGTCTGTGGTCATTATCTGGTGGTGGTCTGAGTCTTCGTTTGGGTCTTGGTCTGGTGGTATAATGCAACCTATTAGGTTGCATTATACTGGTTTACATGGAAAAATCCCTATTAGGTTGCATTATACTGGTTTACATGGAAAAATCCCTATTAGGTTGCATTATACTGGTTTACATGGAAAAATCCCTATTAAGTTGCATTATACTGGTTTACATGGAAAAATCTCTATTAAGTTGCATTATACTGGTTTACATGGAAAAATCCCTATTAGGTTGCATTATACTGGTTTACATGTACAAATCCCTATTAAGTTGCTTTATACTGGTTTACATGTAAAAACCCCTATTAGGTTACATTATAGTGGTTTACATGTAAAAATCCTTATTAAGTTGCATTATACTGGTTTACATGTAAAAACCCCTATTAAGTTCCATTATACTGGTTTACATGTAAAAACCCCTATTAAGTTCCATTATACTGGTTTACATGTAAAAACCCTATTAAGTTGCATTATACTGGTTTACATGGAAAAATCCCTATTAAGTTGCATAATACTGGTTTACATGGAAAAATCCCCATTAAGTTGCATTATACTGGTTTACATGAAAAAAACCCTATTAAGTTGCATTATACTGGTTTACAAGGAAAAATCCCTATTAAGTTGCATTATACTGGTTTACATGGAAAAATCCCTATTAAGTTGCATAATACTGGTTTACATGGAAAAATCCCCATTAAGTTGCATTATACTGGTTTACATGTAAAAAACCCTATTAAGTTGCATTATACTGGTTTACATGGAAAAATCCCTATTAAGTTGCATTGTACTGGTTTACATGGAAAAAACCCTATTAAGTTGCATTATACTGGTTTACATGGAAAAAACCCTATTAAGTTGCATTATACTGGTTTACATGGAAAAAACCCTATTAAGTTGCATTATACTGGTTTACATGTAAAAACCCCTATTAAGTTGCATTATACTGGTTTACATGGAAAAATCCCCATTAAGTTGCATTATACTGGTTTACATGAAAAAAAACCCTATTAAGTTGCATTATACTGGTTTACATGAAAAACCCTATTAAGTTGCATTATACTGGTTTACATGGAAAAATCCCTATTAAGTTGCATAATACTGGTTTACATGGAAAAATCCCCATTAAGTTGCATTATACTGGTTTACATGTAAAAAACCCTATTAAGTTGCATTATACTGGTTTACATGGAAAAATCCCTATTAAGTTGCATTGTACTGGTTTACATGGAAAAAACCCTATTAAGTTGCATTATACTGGTTTACATGGAAAAAACCCTATTAAGTTGCATTATACTGGTTTACATGGAAAAAACCCTATTAAGTTGCATTATACTGGTTTACATGTAAAAACCCCTATTAAGTTGCATTATACTGGTTTACATGGAAAAATCCCCATTAAGTTGCATTATACTGGTTTACATGAAAAAAAACCCTATTAAGTTGCATTATACTGGTTTACATGAAAAAAAACCCTATTAAGTTGCATTATACTGGTTTACATGAAAAAACCCTATTAAGTTGCATTATACTGGTTTACATGGAAAAATCCCTATTAAGTTGCATTATACTGGTTTACATGGAAAAATCCCTATTAGGTTGCATGATTACACTGAAGTCCTTGAAACTGCTGAAGTCCTTGAAACTGCTGAAGTCCTTGAAACTGCTGAAGTCCTTGAAACTGTTGAAGTCCTTGAAACTCTTGAAATCTTGAAACTGCTGAAATCCTTGAAACTGTTGAATCCTTGAAACTGTTGAATCATTGAAACTGTAGAAATGTCTGAAAGAGCTGAAGTCCTATTAAAATGCATGGGCCTATTAAAATGCATTGCAGAATTCTCAATGCAGATTTTTGTCCGATTGCGGAAAAACCGGAAATCGCTGAAGTCCCAAAAGTAATAGCAATAATCTCCCAAACATGTGGAACGTTTTGATGTATAACTTGTGGAAATTGTTGAAAATGTGAAAGCTGTGAAACGTGTCAAAAAAAATGACGGAATAAAGAAATACAAAACCATGGTTGACTGCGGAAGGTTCCGCAGTCAATCAATAACGGACAGAACCATGGATCTATGATAATAACTGACGGAACCATGGATCTATGATAACTAGAAATGGTACAATGGCTGAAGCCATTGTGAGTGGCTGCATAGATGTTGGAAGGGTTAGGGATGAAGAAGGAAGAGGAAGGGGAAGAAGAAGGAAGAAGAAAGAAGAGGAAGAAGAAGAAGGAAGAGGAGGAGAAAGAAGAAGGGGAAGAAGAGGAAGAAGAGGACAAGGGGAAGAGGAAGAAGAGGAAGAAGAGGAAGAAGGGGAAGAAGGGGAAGAAGAGGAAGAAGGGGAAGAAGAGGAAGAAGGGGAAGAAGAGGAAGAAGAGGAAGAAGGGGAAGAAGAGGAAGAAGAGGAAGAAGTGAAGAAGATGAAGTAAGAAGAATGTGTTGTAAGGGGCTGAAAGTGTTTTAAAGTGCTAAATGTGTTGTAAGTATTGAATTTGTTGTAAGGTATAGAATGTTTTGTAAAGTGCTAAATGTGTTGTAAGGCGTTGAATTTGTTGTAAAGTGCTAAATGTGTTGTAAGTATTGAATTTGTTGTAAGGTATAGAATGTTTTGTAAAGTGCTAAATGTGTTGTAAGGTGTTGAATTTGTTGTAAAGTGCTAAATGTGTTGTAAGTATTGAATTTGTTGTAAGGTATAGAATGTTTTGTAAAGTGCTAAATGTGTTGTAAGGTGTTGAATTTGTTGTAAGGTGCTGAATGTGTAGTAAGGTGTTGAATTTGTTGTAAAGTGCTAAATGTGTTGAATTTTTGTTTAAAGTGCTAAATGTGTTGTAAGGTGTTGAATTTGTTGTAAGGTGTTGAATGTGTTGTAAAGTGCTAAATGTGTTGTAAGGTGTTGAATTTCTTGTAAGGTGCTAAATGTGTTGTAAGGTGTTGAATTTGTTGTAAAGTGCTAAATGTGTTGTAAGGTGCTGTAAGTGTTGTAAGATGTTGTAATGTATTGTATCTGTGGTGATGAATTGTTAGTGTGGTAATGTGTTGTATGGGGAGTAATCTGTTGTACTGGTCCAATGTAAGTCTATGGGAAAAAGTGCTTGAACTTTTGTTAATATCTGAAAAAGTGCTAAAGGTGGAAGTGTGAAAAGTAATAGCAATAATGAGACGGTGAAGCCGGTCGTAACGATGTATAATTTGTTGAATTTGGTGAAAGCGTTGAAGAGTTGAAAAGTGCCAAAATCTGGCGGAAGTGGAAGAAGAAGAAGAAGAAGAACTAGAAATGGTACAATGGCTGAAGCCATTGTGAGTGGCTGCATAGATGTTGGAAGGGTTAGGGATGAAGAAGGAAGAGGAAGGGGAAGAAGAAGGAAGAAGAAGAAAGAAAAGGGAAGAAGAGGAAAGAAGAAGAAAGAAGAGGAGGAGGAAGAAGAAGAAGGGGAAGAAGAAGAAAGAATAAGAAAGAAAAGGGAAGAAGAGGAAAGAAGAAGAAGGGGAAGAAGGGGAATAAGAAGAAGAGGAAGAAGGGGAAGAAGGGGAAGAAGGGGAAGAAGGGGAAGAAGGGGAAGAAGAAGGAAGAAGAGGAAGAAGGGGAAAAAGAGGAAGAAGGGGAAGAAGGGGAAGAAGAGGAAGAAGAGGAAGAAGGGGAAGAAGGGGAAGAAGAGGAAGAACAGGAAGAAGGGGAAGAAGAGGAAAAAGGGGAAGAAGAGGAAGAAGGGGAAGAAGGGAAAGAAGAGGAAGAAGGGGAAGAAGAGGAAGAAGTGAAGAAGAAGTAAGAAGAATTCGTTGTAAGGGACTGAAAGTGTTGTAAAGTGCTAAATGTGTTGAATTTGTTGTAAAATGCTAAATGTGTTGTAAGGTGTTGAATGTGTTGTAAAGTGCTAAATGTGTTGTAAGGTGTTGAATGTGTTGTAAAGTGCTAAATGTGTTGTAAGGTGTTGAATGTGTTGTAAAGTGCTAAGTGTGTTGTAAGGTGTTGAATGTGTTGTAAAGTGCTAAGTGTGTTGTAAGGTGTTGAATTTGTTGTAAGGTGCTAAATGTGTTTTAAAGTGCTAAATGTGTTGTAAGGTGCTGTAAGTGTTGTAAGATGTGTAATGTATTGTATCTGTGGTAATGAATTGTTAGTGTGGTAATGTGTTGTTAGGGGAGTAATCTGTTGTACTGGTCCAATGTAAGTCAATGGGAAAAAGTGCTTGAACTTTTGTTAATATCTGAAAAAGTGCTAAAGGTGGAAGTGTGAAAAGTAATAGCAATAATGAGACGGTGAAGCCGGTCGTAACGATGTATAATTTGTTGAATTTGGTGAAAGCGTTGAAGAGTTGAAAAGTGACAAAATCTGGCGGAAGTGGAAGAAGAAGAAGAAGAACTAGAAATGGTACAATGGCTGAAGCCATTGTGAGTGGCTGCATAGATGTTGGAAGGGTTAGGGATGAAGAAGGAAGAGGAAGGGGAAGAAGAAGGAAGAAGAAAGAAAAGGCAAGAAGAGGAAAGAAGAAGAAGGAAGAGAAGGAGGAAGAAGAAGAAGGGGAAGAAGGGGAAGAAGAAGGGGAAGAAGAGGAAGAAGGGGAAGAAGAGGAAGAACAGGAAGAAGAGGAAGAAGAGGAAGAAGGGGAAGAAGAGGAAGAAGAGGAAGAAGAGGAAAAAGGGGAAGAAGAGGAAGAATAGAAAGAAGAGAAAGAAGGGGAAGAAGAGGAAGAAGTGAAGAAGATGAAGTAAGAAGAATGTGTTGTAAGGGGCTGAAAGTGTTGTAAAGTGCTGAAAGTGTTGTAAAGTGCTAAATGTGTTGTAAAGTGCTGAATGTGTTGTAAAGTGCTGAATGTGTTGTAAGGTGTTGAATTTGTTGTAAAGTGCTAAATGTGTTGTACGGTGTTGAATTTGTGTTAAAGTGCTAAATGTGTTGTAAGGTGTTGAATTTGTGTTAAAGTGCTGAATGTGTCGTAAAGTGTTGAATTTGTTGTAAAGTGCTAAGTGTGTAATTTGTGTTTAAGTGCTAAATGTGTTGTAAGGTGTTGAATTTGTGTTAAAGTGCTGAATGTGTTGTAAAGTGTTGAATTTGTTGTAAAGTGCTAAATGTGTTAGAATTTGTTGTAAAGTGCTAAATGTGTTGTGAGGTGTTGAATTTGTTGTAAGGTGCTGAATGTGTTGTAAGGTGTTGAATTTGTTGTAAAGTGTTAAATGTGTTGTAAGGTGTTGAATGTGTTGTAAAGTGCTAAATGTGTTAGAATTTGTTGTAAAGTGCTAAATGTGTTGTAAGGTGTTGAATGTGTTGTAAGGTGCTAAATGTGTTGTAAGGTGTTGAATTTGTTGTAAAGTGCTAAATGTGTTGAATTTGTTGTAAAGTGCTAAATGTGTTGTAAGGTGCTGTAAGTGTTGTAAGATGTTGTAATGTATTGTATCTGTGGTGATGAATTGTTAGTGTGGTAATGTGTTGTATGGGGAGTAATCTGTTGTACTGGTCCAATGTAAGTCTATGGGAAAAAGTGCTTGAACTTTTGTTAATATCTGAAAAAGTGCTAAAGGTGGAAGTGTGAAAAGTAATAGCAATAATGAGACGGTGAAGCCGGTCGTAACGATGTATAATTTGTTGAATTTGGTGAAAGCGTTGAAGAGTTGAAAAGTGCCAAAATCTGGCGGAAGTGGAAGAAGAAGAAGAAGAAGAAGAATAAACAGTAGGAGAGCATATAGTGGCTGCATAGTCTATGCAGCCACTCAACTAGAAATGGTACAATGGCTGAAGCCATTGTGAGTGGCCGCATAGATGTTGGAAGGGTTAGGGATGAAGAAGGAAGAAGGGGAAGAAGAAGGAAGAAGAAGAAAGAAAAGGGAAGAAGAGGAAAGAAGAAGGAGGAAGAGGAGGAGGAAGAAGAAGGGAAAGAAGGGGAAGAAGAAGGGGAAGAAGGGGGGAAGAAGAGGAAGAAGGGGAAGAAGGGGAGAAGAGGAAGAAGAGGAGAAGAAGAAGAAGAGGAAGAAGGGGAAGAAGAGGAAGAAGGGGAAGAAGAGGAAGAAGAGGAAGAAGAGAAAGAAGGGGAAGAAGAGGAAGAAGTGAATAAGATGCAGTAAGAAGAATGTGTTGTAAGGGGCTGAAAGTGTTGTAAAGTGCTAAATGTGTTGTAAAGTGCTGAATGTGTTGTAAAGTGCTGTAAGTGTGGTAAAGTGCTGTAAGTGTTGTAAGGTGCTGTAAGTGTTGTAAGATGTTGTAATGTATTGTATCTGTGGTAATGAATTGTTAGTGTGGTAATGTGTTGTATGGGGAGTAATCTGTTGTACTGGTCCAATGTAAGTCAATGGGAAAAAGTGCTTGAACTTTTGTTAATATCTGAAAAAGTGCTAGAGGTGGAAGTGTGAAAAGTAATAGCAATAATGAGACGGTGAAGCCGGTCGTAACGATGTATAATTTGTTGAATTTGGTGAAAGCGTTGAAGAGTTGAAAAGTGCCAAAATCTGGCGGAAGTGGAAGAAGAAGAACTAGAAATGGTACAATGGCTGAAGCCATTGTGAGTGGCTGCATAGATGTTGGAAGGGTTAGGGATGAAGAAGGAAGAAGAAGGAAGAAGAAAGAAAAGGGAAGAAGAGGAAAGACGAAGAAGGAAGAGGAGGAGGAAGAAGAAGAAGGGGAAGAAGGAGAAGAAGAGGAAGAAGGGGAAGAAGAGGAAAAGGGGAAGAAGAGGAAGAAGAGGAAGAAGAGGAAGAAGGGGAAGAAGAGGAAAAAGGGGAAGAAGAGGAAGAAGAGCAAGAAGAGGAAAAAGGGGAAGAAGAGGAAGAAGAGGAAGAAGAGGAAGAAGGGGAAGAAGAGGAAGAAGGGGAAGAAGAGGAAAAAGGGGAAGAAGAGGAAGAACAGGAAGAAGAGGAAGAAGGGGAAGAAGAGGAAGAAGAGGAAGAAGGGGAAGAAGAGGAAGAAGGGGAAGAACAGGAAGATGAGGAAGAAGAGGAAGAAGGGGAAGAAGGGAAAGAAGAGGAAGAAGGGGAAGAATAGGAAGAAGTAAGAAGAATGTGTTGTAAGGGACTGAAAGTGTTGTAAAGTGCTAAATACGTTGTAAAGTGCTAAATGTGTTGAAAGGTGTTGAATTTGTTGTAAAGTGCTAAATGTGTTGTAAGGTGTTGAATTTGTTGTAAAGTGCTAAATGTGTTGTAAAGTGCTAAATTTGTTGTAAGGTATTGAATGTGTTGTAAGGTGTTGAATGTGTTGTAAAATGCTAAATGTGTTGAATTTGTTGTAAAGTGCTAAATGTGTTGTAAGGTGTTGAATGTGTTGTAAAGTGCTAAATGTGTTGTACAGTGTTGAATTTGTTGTAAGGTGCTGAATGTGTTGTAAGGTGTTGAATTTGTTGTAAAGTGCTAAATGTGTTCTAAGGTGTTGAATTTGTTGTAAAGTGCTAAATGTGTTCTAAGGTGTTGAATTTGTTGTAAAGTGCTAAATGTGTTGTAAGGTGTTGAATGTGTTGTAAGGTGCTGAATGTGTTGTAAGGTGTTGAATTTGTTTGTAAAGTGCTAAATGTGTTGTGAATTTGTTGTAAAGTGCTAAATGTGTTGTAAGGTGTTGAATTTGTTTTAAAGTGCTAAATGTGTTGTAAGGTGCTGTAAGTGTTGTAAGATGTTGTAATGTATTGTATCTGTGGTAATGAATTGTTAGTGTGGTAATGTGTTGTATGGGGAGTAATCTGTTGTACTGGTCCAATGTAAGTCTATGGGAAAAAGTGCTTGAACTTTTGTTAATATCTGAAAAAGTGCTAAAGGTGGAAGTGTGAAAAGTAATAGCAATAATGAGACGGTGAAGCCGGTCGTAACGATGTATAATTTGTTGAATTTGGTGAAAGCGTTGAAGAGTTGAAAAGTGCCAAAATCTGGCGGAAGTGGAAGAAGAAGAAGAAGAAGAAGAAGAAGAAAGGAGAGCATATAGTGGCTGCATAGTCTATGCAGCCACTCAACTAGAAATGGTACAATGGCTGAAGCCATTGTGAGTGGCTGCATAGATGTTGGAAGGGTTAGGGATGAAGAAGGAAGAGGAAGGGGAAGAAGAAGGAAGAAGAAAGAAGAGGAAAGAAGAAGAAGGAAGAGGAGGAGAAAGAAGAAGGGGAAGAAGGGGAAGAAGAGGAAGAAGAGGACGAAGGGGAAGAAGGGGAAGAAGACGAAGAAGAGGAAGAAGAGGAAGAAGGGGAAGAAGAGGAAGAAGGGGAAGAAGAGGAAGAAGGGGAAGAAGAGGAAGAAGAGGAAGAAGGGGAAGAAGGGGAAGAAGAGGAAGAAGAGGAAGAAGTGAAGAAGATGAAGTAAGAAGAATGTGTTGTAAGGGGCTGAAAGTGTTTTAAAGTGCTAAATGTGTTGTAAGTATTGAATTTGTTGTAAGGTATAGAATGTTTTGTAAAGTGCTAAATGTGTTGTAAGGCGTTGAATTTGTTGTAAAGTGCTAAATGTGTTGTAAGTATTGAATTTGTTGTAAGGTATAGAATGTTTTGTAAAGTGCTAAATGTGTTGTAAGGTGTTGAATTTGTTGTAAAGTGCTAAATGTGTTGTAAGTATTGAATTTGTTGTAAGGTATAGAATGTTTTGTAAAGTGCTAAATGTGTTGTAAGGTGTTGAATTTGTTGTAAGGTGCTGAATGTGTAGTAAGGTGTTGAATTTGTTGTAAAGTGCTAAATGTGTTGAATTTTTGTTAAAGTGCTAAATGTGTTGTAAGGTGTTGAATTTGTTGTAAGGTGTTGAATGTGTTGTAAAGTGCTAAATGTGTTGTAAGGTGTTGAATTTGTTGTAAGGTGCTAAATGTGTTGTAAGGTGTTGAATGTGTTGTAAAGTGCTAAATGTGTTGTAAGGTGTTGAATTTGTTGTAAGGTGCTAAATGTGTTGTAAGGTGTTGAATTTGTTGTAAAGTGCTAAATGTGTTGTAAGGTGCTGTAAGTGTTGTAAGATGTTGTAATGTATTGTATCTGTGGTGATGAATTGTTAGTGTGGTAATGTGTTGTATGGGGAGTAATCTGTTGTACTGGTCCAATGTAAGTCTATGGGAAAAAGTGCTTGAACTTTTGTTAATATCTGAAAAAGTGCTAAAGGTGGAAGTGTGAAAAGTAATAGCAATAATGAGACGGTGAAGCCGGTCGTAACGATGTATAATTTGTTGAATTTGGTGAAAGCGTTGAAGAGTTGAAAAGTGCCAAAATCTGGCGGAAGTGGAAGAAGAAGAAGAAGAAGAAGAAGAAGAACTAGAAATGGTACAATGGCTGAAGCCATTGTGAGTGGCTGCATAGATGTTGGAAGGGTTAGGGATGAAGAAGGAAGAGGAAGGGGAAGAAGAAGGAAGAAGAAAGAAAAGGGAAGAAGAGGAAAGAAGAAGGAGGAAGAGGAGGAGGAAGAAGAAGGGAAAGAAGGGGAAGAAGAAGGGGAAGAAGGGGGGGAAGAAGAGGAAGAAGGGGAAGAAGGGGAAGAAGAGGAAGAAGAGGAAGAAGAAGAGGAAGAGAAAGAAGGGGAAGAAGAGGAAGAAGTGAATAAGATGCAGTAAGAAGAATGTGTTGTAAGGGGCTGAAAGTGTTGTAAAGTGCTAAATGTGTTGTAAAGTGCTGAATGTGTTGTAAAGAGCTAAATGTGTTGTAAAGTGCTAAATGTGTTGTAAAGTGCTGAATGTGTTGTAAAGTGCTGAATGTGTTGTAAAGTGCTGAATGTGTTGTAAAGTGCTAAATGTGTTGTAAAGTGCTGAATGTGTTGTAAAGTGCTAAATGTGTTGTAAGGTGCTGTAAGTGTTGTAAGATGTTGTAATGTATTGTATCTGTGGTAATGAATTGTTAGTGTGGTAATGTGTTGTATGGGGAGTAATCTGTTGTACTGGTCCAATGTAAGTCAATGGGAAAAAGTGCTTGAACTTTTGTTAATATCTGAAAAAGTGCTAAAGGTGGAAGTGTGAAAAGTAATAGCAATAATGAGACGGTGAAGCCGGTCGTAACGATGTATAATTTGTTGAATTTGGTGAAAGCGTTGAAGAGTTGAAAAGTGCCAAAATCTGGCGGAAGTGGAAGAAGAAGAAGAACTAGAAATGGTACAATGGCTGAAGCCATTGTGAGTGGCTGCATAGATGTTGGAAGGGTTAGGGATGAAGAAGGAAGAGGAAGGGGAAGAAGAAGGAAGAAGAAAGAAAAGGGAAGAAGAGGAAAGAAGAAGAAGGAAGAGGAGGAGGAAGAAGAAGAAGGGGAAGAAGGGGACGAAGAAGAAGGTGAAAAAGGGGTAGAAGGGGAAGAGGGGGAAGAAGAGGAAGAAGGGGAAGAAGAGGAAGAAGGGGAAGAAGTGAAGAAGATGAATTAAGAATGTGTTGTAAGGGGCTGAATGTGTTGTAAAGTGCTGAATGTGTTGTAAAGTGCTAAATGTGTTGTAAAGTGCTGAATGTGTATTAAAGTGCTAAATGTGTTGTAAGGTGTTGAATTTGTTGTAAAGTGCTAAATGTGTTGTAAGGTATTGAATGTTTTGTAAAGTGCTAAAAGTGTTGTAAGGTGTTGAATGTGTTGTAAAAGTGCTAAATGTGTTGTAAGGTGTTGAATTTGTTGTAAAGTGCTAAATGTGCTGTAAGGTGTTGAATTTGTTGTAAAGTGCTAAATGTATTGTAAGGTGTTGAAATTTGTGTTAAAGTGCTAAATGTATTGTAAGGTGTTGAATTTGTGTTAAAGTGCTAAATGTGTTCTAAGGTGTTGAATTTGTTGTAAAGTGCTAAATGTGTTGTAAGGTGTTGAATGTTTTGTAAAGTGCTAAATATGTTGTAAGGTGTTGAATGTCTTGTAAAGTGCTAAATGTGTTGAATGTGTTGTAAAGTGCTAAATGTGTTGTAAGGTGTTGAATGTGTTGTAAAGTGCTAAATGTGTTGTAAGGTGTTGAATGTGTTGTAAAGTGCTAAATGTGTTTGTAAGGTGTTGAATGTGTTGTAAAGTGCTAAATGTGTTGTAAGGTGTTGAATGTGTTGTAAAGTGCTAAATGTGTTGTAAGGTGTTGAATTTGTTGTAAAGTGCTAAATGTGTTGTAAGGTGTTGAATTTGTTGTAAGGTGCTAAATGTGTTGTAAGGTGTTGAATTTGTTGTAAAGTGCTAAATTTGTTGTAAGGTGTTGAATTTGTTGTAAAGTGCTAAATGTGTTGTAAGGTGTTGAATTTGTTGTAAAGTGCTAAATGTGTTGTAAGGTGTTGAATTTGTTGTAAGGTGCTGAATGTGTTGTAAGGTGTTGAATTTGTTGTAAAGTGCTGAATGTGTTGTAAGGTGTTGAATTTGTTGTAAAGTGCTAAATGTGTTGTAAGGTGTTGAATTTGTTGTAAAGTTCTAAATGTATTGTAAGGTGTTGAATGTGTTGTAAAGTGCTAAATGTGTTGTAAGGTGTTGAATTTGTTGTAAGGTGCTGAATGTGTTGTAAGGTGTTGAATTTGTTGTAAAGTGCTAAATGTGTTGCAAGGTGAATTTGTTGTAAGGTGCTAAATGTGTTATAAGGTGTTGAATTTGTTGTAAAGTGCTAAATGTGTTGTAATGTGCTGTAAGTGTTGTAAGATGTTGTAATGTATTGTATCTGTGGTAATGAATTGTTAGTGTGGTAATGTGTTGTATGGGGAGAAATCTGTTGTACTGGTCCAATGTAAGTTTATGGGATAAAGTGCTTGAACTTGTGTTAATATCTGAAAAAGTGCTAAAGGTGGAAGTGTGAAAAGTAATAGCAATAATGAGACGGTGAAGCCGGTCGTAACGATGTATAATTTGTTGAATTTGGTGAAAGCGTTGAAGAGTTGAAAAGTGCCAAAATCTGGCGGAAGTGGAAGAAGAAGAAGAAGAAGAAGAAGAAGAAAGAAGAAGAAGAAGAAGAAGAATAAACAGTAGGAGAGCATATAGTGGCTGCATAGTCTATGCAGCCACTCAACTAGAAATGGTACAATGGCTGAAGCCATTGAGAGTGGCTGCATAGATGTTGGAAGGGTTAGGGATGAAGAAGGAAGAAGAAGGAAGAAGAAAGAAAAGGGAAGAAGAGGAAAGAAGAAGAAGGAAGAGAAGAGGAGGAAAGAAGAAGAAGGGGAAGAAGGGAGAAAGAAGAGAAGAGGAAGAAGGGGAAGAAGAAGAGGAAGAAGGGGAAGAAGAGGAAGAAGAGGAAGAAGAGGAAGAAGGGGAAGAAGAGGAAGAAGAGGAATAAGAGGAAGAAGGGGAAGAAGAGGAAGAAGGGGAAGAAGAGGAAGAAGAGGAAGAAGAGGAAGAAGTAAGAAGAATGTGTTGTAAGGGGCTGAAAGTGTTGTAAAGTGCTGAATGTGTTTTAAGGTGTTGTAAAGTGTTGAATGTGTTGTAAAGTGCTAAATGTGTTGTAAAGTGCTAAATGTGTTATAAGGTGTTGAATTTGTTGTAAAGTGCTAAATGTGTTGTAAGGTGTTGAATTTGTTGTAAAGTGCTGAATGTGTTGTATGTGTTGTAATTTGTTTGTTGTAAAGTGCTAAATGTGTTGTAAGGTGTTGAATGTGTTGTAAAGTGCTAAATGTGTTGTACAGTGTTGAATTTGTTGTAAGGTGCTGAATGTGTTGTAAGGTGTTGAATTTGTTGTAAAGTGCTAAATGTGTTGTAAGGTGTTGAATTTGTTGTAAAGTGCTAAATGTGTTCTAAGGTGTTGAATTTGTTGTAAAGTGCTAAATGTGTTGTAAGGTGTTGAATGTGTTGTAAGGTGCTGAATGTGTTGTAAGGTGTTGAATTTGTTGTAAAGTGCTAAATGTGTTTGAATTTGTTGTAAAGTGATAAATGTGTTGTAAGGTGTTGAATTTGTTGTAAAGTGCTAAATGTGTTGTAAGGTGCTGTAAGTGTTGTAAGATGTTGTAATGTATTGTATCTGTGGTAATGAATTGTTAGTGTGGTAATGTGTTGTATGGGGAGTAATCTGTTGTACTGGTCCAATGTAAGTCTATGGGAAAAAGTGCTTGAACTTTTGTTAATATCTGAAAAAGTGCTAAAGGTGGAAGTGTGAAAAGTAATAGCAATAATGAGACGGTGAAGCCGGTCGTAACGATGTATAATTTGTTGAATTTGGTGAAAGCGTTGAAGAGCTGAAAAGTGCCAAAATCTGGCGGAAGTGGAAGAAGAAGAAGAAGAAGAAGAAGAAGAAGAAGAAGAATAAACAGTAGGAGAGCATATAGTGGCTGCATAGTCTATGCAGCCACTCAACTAGAAATGGTACAATGGCTGAAGCCATTGTGAGTGGCTGCATAGATGTTGGAAGGGTTAGGGATGAAGAAGGAAGAGGAAGGGGAAGAAGGAAGAAGAAAAAAAGTGAAGAAGAGGAAAGAAGAAGAAAGAAGAAGAAGAGGAAGAAGGGGAAGAAGAGGAATAAGGGGAAGAACAGGAAGAACAGGAAAAAGGGGAAGAAGGGGAAGAAGAGGAAGAAGAGGAAGAAGATGAAGAAGGGGAAGAAGGGGGAGAAGGGGAAGAAGAGGGAAGAAGGGAAGAAGGGGAAGAAGAGGAAGAAGGGGAAGAAGGAGAAGAAGAGGAAAGAAGGGGAAGAACAGGAAGAAGTGGAAGAACAGGAAGAAGAGGAAGAAGGGGAAGAAGAGGAAGAAGAGGAAGAAGAGGAAGAAGGGGAAGAAGGAGAAGAAGAGGAAGAAGGGGAAGAACAGGAAGAACAGGAAGAAGGGAAGAAGGGGAAGAAGGGGGAGAAAGGGAAGAAGAGGAAGAAGAGGAAGAAGGGGAAGAAGGAGAAGAAGAGGAAGAAGGAAGAACAGGAAATGTGTTGTAAAGTGCTAAATGTGTTGTAAAGTGCTTGAATTTGTTGTAAAGTGCTACATGTGTTGTAAAGTGCTAAATGTGTTGTAAGGTGTTGAATTTGTTGTAAAGTGCTAAATGTGTTGTAAGGTGTTGAATGTGTTGTAAAGTGCTAAATGTGTTGTAAGGTGTTGAATGTGTTGTAAAGTGCTAAATGTGTTGTAAGGTGTTGAATGTGTTGTAAAGTGCTAAATGTGTTGTAAGGTGTTGAATGTGTTGTAAAGTGCTAAATGTGTTGTAAGGTGCTAAATGTGTTGTAAAGTGCTAAATGTGTTGTAAAGTGTTGAATGTGTTGTAAAGTGCTAAATGTGTTGTAAAGTGCTAAATGTGTTGTAAAGTGCTAAATGTGTTGTAAAGTGTTGAATGTGTTGTAAAGTGCTAAATGTGTTGTAAAGTGCTAAATGTGTTGTAAAGGTGAATGTGTTGTAAAGTGCTAAATGTGTTGTAAGTGTTGAATGTGTTGTAAAGTGCTAAATGTGTTGTAAAGGTGTGTGAATTTGTTTGTAAAGTGCTGAATGTGTTGTAAAGTGCTTGAATGTGTTGTAAAGTGCTAAATGTGTTGTAAAGTGCTAAATGTGTGTAAAGTGCTAATGTGTTGTAAGGTGTAATGTTTTGTAAAGTGCTAAATGTGTTGTAAGGTGTTGAATGTTGTTGTAAAGTGCTAAATGTGTTGTAAGGTGTTGAATTTGTTGTAAAGTGCTAAATGTGTTGTAAGGTGTTGAATTTGTTGTAAAGTGCTAAATGTGTTGTAAGGTTTGAATTTGTTGTAAAGTGCTAAATGTGTTGTAAGGTGTTGAATTTGTTGTAAAGTGCTAAATGTGTTTGATTTTTTGTTAAAGTGCTAAATGTGTTGTAAGGTGTTGAAAATGTGTGTTGTAAAGTGCTAAATGTGTTGTAAGATGTTGAATGTTTGTAAAGTGCTAAATGTGTTGTAAGGTGTTGAATGTGTTGTAAAGTGCTAAATGTGTTGTAAGGTGTTGAATGTGTTGTAAAGTGCTAAATGTGTTGTAAGGTGTTGAATGTGTTGTAAAGTGCTAAATGTGTTGTAAGGTGTTGAATTTGTTGTAAAGTGCTAAATGTGTTGTAAGGTGTTGAATTTGTTGTAAAGTGCTAAATGTGTTGTAAGGTGTTGAATTTGTTGTAAAGTGCTAAATGTGTTGAATTTGTGTTAAAGTGCTAAATGTGTTGTAAGGTGTTGAATTTGTTGTAAAGTGCTAAATGTGTTGTAAGGTGTTGAATTTGTTGTAAGGTGCTAAATGTGTTGTAAGGTGTTGAATTTGTTGTAAAGTGCTAAATGTGTTGTAAGGTGTTGAATGTGTTGTAAAGTGCTAAATGTGTTGTAAGGTGTTGAATTTGTTGTAAAGTGCTAAATGTGTTGTAAGGTGTTGAATTTGTTGTAAAGTGCTAAATGTGTTGTAAGGTGTGTTGAATTTGTTGTAAAGTGCTAAATGTGTTGTAAGGTGTTGAATGTGTTGTAAAGTGCTAAATGTGTTGTAAGGTGCTGTAAGTGTTGTAAGATGTTGTAATGTATTGTATCTGTGGTAATGAATTGTTAGTGTGGTCATGTGTTGTATGGGGAGTAATCTGTTGTACTGGTCCAATGTAAGTCAATGGGAAAAAGTGCTTGAACTTTTGTTAATATCTGAAAAAGTGCTAAAGGTGGAAGTGTGAAAAGTAATAGCAATAATGAGACGGTGAAGCCGGTCGTAACGATGTATAATTTGTTGAATTTGGTGAAAGCGTTGAAGAGTTGAAAAGTGCCAAAATCTGGCGGAAGTGGAAGAAGAAGAAGAAGAAGAAGAAGAAGAAGAAGAATAAACAGTAGGAGAGCATATAGTGGCTGCATAGTCTATGCAGCCACTCAACTAGAAATGGTACAATGGCTGAAGCCATTGTGAGTGGCTGCATATATGTTGGAAGGGTTAGGGATGAAGAAGGAAGAAGGAAGGAAGAAGAAGGAAGAAGAAAGAAAAGGAAGAAGAGGAAAGACAAAGAAGGAAGGAAGAAGAAGAAGGGGAAAAGGAGAAAAAGAAGGGGAAGAGGGGGAAGAGGGAAGAAGAAGAAGGGGAAGAAGAGGAAGAAGGGGAAGAAGAGGAAGAGGAAGAAGAGGAAGGGGAAGAAGAGGAAAAGAGGAAGAAGGGGAAGAAGAGAAGAAGAAGAAGAGGAAGGAAGAAGAGGAAGAAGAGGAAGAAGAGGAAGAAGGGGAAGAAGAGGAAGAAGAGGAAGAAAGGGGAAGAAAGAGGAAGAAGAGGAAGAAGAGGAAGAAGGGGAAAGAAGAGGAAGAAGGGGAAGAAGAGGAAGAAAGAAAGGAAGAAGGTGAAAAGGGTAAAGTGCTAAATGTGTTGTAAGGTGTTGAATGTGTTGTAAAGTGCTAAATGTGTTGTAAGGTGATGAATGTGTTGTAAAGTGCTAAATGTGTTGTAACGGTGTTGAATTTGTTGGTAAAGTGCTAAATGTGTTGTAAGGTGGTTGAATTTGTTGTTGTTAAAGTGCTAATGTGTTGTTGACGGTGTTGAATTTGTTGTAAAGTGTAAATGTGTTGTAAAGTGTTGAATTTGTTTGTAAAGTGCTTAAATGTGTTAAAGGTGTTGATAAGTGCTGTAAAGTGGTTTGATGGTGTTGTAAGGTAGTTGAATGTGTTGTAAAGTGCTAAATGTGTTGTAAGGTGTTGAATTTGTTGTAAAGTGCTAAATGTGTTGTAAGGTGTTGAATGTGTTGTAAAGTGCTAAAATGTGTTGTAAGGTGTTGAATTTGTTGTAAGGTGCTGAAATCGTGTTGTAAGGTTGTTGAATTTGTTGTAAAGTGCTAAATGTGTTGTAAGGTGTTGAATGTGTTGTAAAGTGCTAAATTGTGTTGTAAGGTGTTGAATTTGTTGTAAGGTGCTGAATGTGTTGTAAGGTGTTGAATTTGTTGTAAAGTGCTAAATGTGTTGTAAGGTGTTGAATTTGTTGTAAAGTGCTAAATGTGTTGTAAGGTGTTGAATTTGTTGTAAAGTGCTAAATGTGTTGTAAGGTGCTGTAAGTGTTGTAAGATGTTGTAATGTATTGTATCTGTGGTAATGAATTGTTAGTGTGGTAATGTGTTGTATGGGGAGTAATCTGTTGTACTGGTCCAATGTAAGTCTATGGGAAAAAGTGCTTGAACTTTTGTTAATATCTGAAAAAGTGCTAAAGGTGGAAGTGTGAAAAGTAATAGCAATAATGAGACGGTGAAGCCGGTCGTAACGATGTATAATTTGTTGAATTTGGTGAAAGCGTTGAAGAGTTGAAAAGTGCCAAAATCTGGCGGAAGTGGAAGAAGAAGAAGAAGAAGAAGAACTAGAAATGGTACAATGGCTGAAGCCATTGTGAGTGGCTGCATAGATGTTGGAAGGGTTAGGGATGAAGAAGGAAGAGGAAGGGGAAGAAGAAGGAAGAAGAAAGAAAGGGAAGAAGAGGAAGAAGAAGAAGGAAGAGGAGGAGGAAGAAGAAGGGGAAGAAGGGGAAGAGGAAGAAGGGAAGAAGGGAAGAAGGGGAAGAAGAGGAAGAAGGGGAAGAAGAGGAAGAAGAGGAAGAAGGGGAAGAAGAGGAAGAAGGGAAGAAGAGGAAGAAGAGGAAGAAGGGGAAGAAGAGGAAGAAGGGGAAGAAGAGGAAGAAGTGAAAGATGAGTAAGAAGAATGTGTTGTAAAGGGCTGAAAGTGTGAAGTGTTGTAAAGTGTTGAATGTGTTGTAAAGTGCTAAATGTGTTGTAAGGTGTTGAATGTGTTGTAAAGTGCTAAATGTGTTGTAAGGTGTTGAATTTGTTGTAAAGTGCTAAATGTGTTGTAAGGTGTTGAATGTGTTGTAAAGTGCTAAATGTGTTGTAAGGTGTTGAATGTGTTGTAAAGTGCTAAATGTGTTGTAAGGTGTTGAATGTGTTGTAAAGTGCTAAATGTGTTGTAAGGTGTTGAATTTGTTGTAAAGTGCTAAATGTGTTGTAAGGTGTTGAATGTGTTGTAAAGTGCTAAATGTGTTGTAAGGTGTTGAATTTGTTGTAAAGTGCTAAATGTGTTGTAAGGTGTTGAATTTGTTGTAAAGTGCTAAATGTGTTGTAAGGTGTTGAATTTGTTGTAAAGTGCTAAATGTGTTGTAAGGTGTTGAATTTGTTGTAAAGTGCTAAATGTGTTGTAAGGTGTTGAATTTGTTGTAAAGTGCTAAATGTGTTGTAAGGTGTTGAATGTGTTGTAAAGTGCTAAATGTGTTGTAAGGTGTTGAATTTGTTGTAAGGTGCTAAATGTGTTGTAAGGTGTTGAATTTGTTGTAAAGTGCTAAATGTGTTGTAAGGTGTTGAATTTGTTGTAAAGTGCTAAATGTGTTGTAAGGTGTTGAATTTGTTGTAAAGTGCTAAATGTGTTGTAAGGTGCTGTAAGTGTTGTAAGATGTTGTAATGTATTGTATCTGTGGTAATGAATTGTTAGTGTGGTAATGTGTTGTATGGGGAGTAATCTGTTGTACTGGTCCAATGTAAGTCTATGGGAAAAAGTGCTTGAACTTTTGTTAATATCTGAAAAAGTGCTAAAGGTGGAAGTGTGAAAAGTAATAGCAATAATGAGACGGTGAAGCCGGTCGTAACGATGTATAATTTGTTGAATTTGGTGAAAGCGTTGAAGAGTTGAAAAGTGCCAAAATCTGGCGGAAGTGGAAGAAGAAGAAGAAGAAGAAGAAGAACTAGAAATGGTACAATGGCTGAAGCCATTGTGAGTGGCTGCATAGATGTTGGAAGGGTTAGGGATGAAGAAGGAAGAGGAAGGGGAAGAAGAAGGAAGAAGAAAGAAAAGGGAAGAAGAGGAAAGAAGAAGAAGGAAGAGGAGGAGGAAGAAGAAGAAAGGGAAGAAGAGGAAGAAGGGGAAGAAGAGGAAGAAGGGGAAGAAGAGGAAGAAGAGGAAGAAGGGGAAGAAGAGGAAGAAGAGGAAGAAGGGGAAGAAGAGGAAGAAGGGGAAGAAGAGGAAGAAGAGGAAGAAGGGGAAGAAGAGGAAGAAGTGGAAGAAGGGGAAGAAGTGTGAAGTGTGAAGAGTGAAGAAGTGTTGTAAAGTGCTGAATGTGTTGTAAGAGTGCTGAATGTGTTGTAAAGTGCTGAATGTGTTCTAAAGTGTTGAATGTGTTGTAAAGTGCTGAATGTGTTGTAAAGTGTTGAATGTGTTGTAAGGTGTTCAATGTGTTGTAAAGTGCTAAATGTGTTGTAAAGTGCTAAATGTGTTGTAAGGTGTTGAATGTGTTGTAAAGTGCTAAATGTGTTGTAAGGTGTTGAATTTGTTGTAAAGTGCTAAATGTGTTGTAAGGTGTTGAATGTGTTGTAAAGTGCTAAATGTGTTGTAAGGTGTTGAATTTGTTGTAAAGTGCTAAATGTGTTGTAAGGTGTTGAATTTGTTGTAAAGTGCTAAATGTGTTGTAAGGTGTTGAATGTGTTGTAAAGTGCTAAATGTGTTGTAAGGTGTTGAATTTGTTGTAAAGTGCTAAATGTGTTGTAAGGTGTTGAATTTGTTGTAAAGTGCTAAATGTGTTGTAAGGTGTTGAATGTGTTGTAAAGTGCTAAATGTGTTGTAAGGTGTTGAATTTGTTGTAAGGTGCTAAATGTGTTGTAAGGTGTTGAATTTGTTGTAAAGTGCTAAATGTGTTGTAAGGTGTTGAATGTGTTGTAAAGTGCTAAATGTGTTGTAAGGTGTTGAATGTGTTGTAAAGTGCTAAATGTGTTGTAAGGTGTTGAATTTGTTGTAAAGTGCTAAATGTGTTGTAAGGTGTTGAATTTGTTGTAAAGTGCTAAATGTGTTGTAAGGTGTTGAATTTGTTGTAAAGTGCTAAATGTGTTGTAAGGTGTTGAATTTGTTGTAAAGTGCTAAATGTGTTGTAAGGTGCTGTAAGTGTTGTAAGATGTTGTAATGTATTGTATCTGTGGTAATGAATTGTTAGTGTGGTAATGTGTTGTATGGGGAGTAATCTGTTGTACTGGTCCAATGTAAGTCTAAGCGTTGAAGAGTTGAAAAGTGCCAAAATCTGGCGGTGGAAGAAGAAGAAGAAGAAGAATAAACAGTAGGAGAGCATATAGTGGCTGCATAGTCTATGCAGCCACTCAACTAGAAATGGTACAATGGCTAAAGCCATTGTGAGTGGCTGCATAGATGTTGGAAGGGTTAGGGATGAAGAAGGAAGAGGAAGGGGAAGAAGAAGGAAGAAGAAAGAAAAGGGAAGAAGAGGAAAGAAGAAGAAGGAGGAGGAGGAAGAAGAAGAAGAAGAAGGGAAGAAGAAGAAGAGGAAGAAGAGGAAGAAGGGGAAGAAGAGGATGAAGAGGAAGAAGGGGAAGAAGAGGAAGAAGAGGAAGAAGGGGAAAGAAGAGGAAGAGGGGGAAGAAGAGGAAGAAGAGGAAGAAGAGGAAGAAGGGGAAGAAGAGGAAGAAGGGGAAGAAGAGGAAGAAGTGAAGAAGATGAAGTAAGAAGTGTTGTAAAGTGCTGAATGTGTTGTAAAGTGCTGAATGTGTTGTAAAGTGCTGAATGTGTTGTAAAGTGCTAAATGTGTTGTAAAGTGCTAAATGTGTTGTAAAGTGCTAAATGTGTTGTAAAGTGCTGAATGTGTTGTAAAGTGCTAAATGTGTTGTAAAGTGCTAAATGTGTTGTAAGTGCTAAATTGTTATTGTTTTTAAAGTGCTAAATGTGTTGTAAATGCTAAATGTGGTTGTAAGGTAATGTGTGTATATGAAAGTGAATGTTTGTAAAGTGCTAAATGTGTTGTAAAGTGCTAAATGTGTTGTAAAGTGCTGAATGTGTTGTAAGGTGTTGAATGTGTTGTAAAGTGCTAAATGTGTTGTAAGGTGCTGAATGTGTTGTAAAGTGCTGAATGTGTTGTAAAGTGCTAAATGTGTTGTAAGGTGTTGAATGTGTTGTAAAGTGCTAAATGTGTTGTAAGGTGTTGAATGTGTTGTAAAGTGCTAAATGTGTTGTAATGTGAATGTGTTGTAAAGTGCTGAATGTGTTGTAAGGTGTTGAATGTGTTGTAAAGTGCTAAATGTGTTGTAAGGTGTTGAATTTGTTGTAAAGTGCTAAATGTGTTGTAAGGTGTTGAATGTGTTGTAAAGTGCTAAATGTGTTGTAAGGTGTTGAATGTGTTGTAAAGTGCTGAATGTGTTGTAAGGTGTTGAATTTGTTGTAAAGTGCTAAATGTGTTGTAAGGTGTTGAATGTGTTGTAAAGTGCTAAATGTGTTGTAAGGTGTTGAATGTGTTGTAAAGTGCTAAATGTGTTGTAAGGTGTTGAATTTGTTGTAAGGTGCTGAATGTGTTGTAAGGTGTTGAATTTGTTGTAAAGTGCTAAATGTGTTGTAAGGTGTTGAATTTGTTGTAAAGTGCTAAATGTGTTGTAAAGTGCTGAATGTGTTGTAAAGTGCTAAATGTGTTGTAAAGTGCTGAATGTGTTGTAAAGTGCTTAATGTGTTGTAAAGTGCTAAATTTGTTGTAAGGTAGTGAATTTGTTATAAAGTGCTAAATGTGTTGTAAGGTATTGAATTTTTTGTAAGGTATTGAATGTTTTGTAAAGTGCTAAATGTGTTGTAAGATGTTGAATGTGTTGTAAGGTGCTAAATGTGTTGTAAGGTGTTGAATTTGTTGTAAGGTGCTGAATGTGTTGTAAGGTGTTGAATTTGTTGTAAAGTGCTAAATGTGTTGTAAGGTGTTGAATTTGTTGTAAAGTGCTAAATGTGTTGTAAAGTGCTGAATGTGTTGTAAAGTGCTAAATGTGTTGTAAAGTGCTGAATGTGTTGTAAAGTGCTTAATGTGTTGTAAAGTGCTAAATGTGTTGTAAAGTGCTGAATGTGTTGTAAAGTGCTGAATGTGTTGTAAAGTGCTAAATGTGTTGTAAAGTGCTAAATTTGTTGTAAGGTAGTGAATTTGTTATAAAGTGCTAAATGTGTTGTAAGGTATTGAATTTTTTGTAAGGTATTGAATGTTTTGTAAAGTGCTAAATGTGTTGTAAAGTGCTAAATGTGTTGTAAAGTGATGAATGTGTTGTAAGGTGTTGAATGTGTTGTAAAGTGCTAAATGTGTTGTAAGGTGTTGAATTTGTTGTAAAGTGCTAAATGTTTTATAAGGTGTTGAATGTTTTGTAAAGTGCTAAATGTGTTGTAAGGTGTTGAATTTGTTGTAAGGTGCTGAATGTGTTGTAAGGTGTTGAATTTGTTGTAAAGTGCTAAATGTGTTGAATTTTTGTTAAAGTGCTAAATGTGTTGTAAGGTATTGAATGTGTTGTAAAGTGCTAAATGTGTTGTAAGATGTTGAATGTGTTGTAAGGTGCTAAATGTGTTGTAAGGTGTTGAATTTGTTGTAAGGTGTTGAATTTGTTGTAAGGTGCTGAATGTGTTGTAAGGTGTTGAATTTGTTGTAAAGTGCTAAATGTGTTGTAAGGTGTTGAATTTGTTGTAAAGTGCTAAATGTGTTGTAAGGTGTTGAATTTGTTGTAAAGTGCTAAATGTGTTGTAAGATGTTGTAATGTATTGTATCTGTGGTAATGAATTGTTAGTGTGGTAATGTGTTGTATGGGGAGTAATCTGTTGTACTGGTCCAATGTAAGTCTATGGGAAAAAGTGCTTGAACTTTTGTTAATATCTGAAAAAGTGCTAAATGTGGAAGTGTGAAAAGTAATAGCAATAATGAGACGGTGAAGCCGGTCGTAACGATGTATAATTTGTTGAATTTGGTGAAAGCGTTGAAGAGTTGAAAAGTGCCAAAATCTGGCGGTGGAAGAAGAAGAAGAAGAAGAATAAACAGTAGGAGAGCATATAGTGGCTGCATAGTCTATGCAGCCACTCAACTAGAAATGGTACAATGGCTGAAGCCATTGTGAGTGGCTGCATAGATGTTGGAAGGGTTAGTGATGAAGAAGGAAGAGGAAGGGGAAGAAGAAGGAAGAAGAAAGAAAAGGGAAGAAGAGGAAAGAAGAAGAAGGAAGAGGAGGAGGAAGAAGAAGAAGGGGAAGAAGAAGGGGAAGAAGAGGAAGAGAAGAAGAAGAGGAAGAAGAGGAAGAAGGGGAAGAAGAGGAAGAAGTGAAGAAGATGAAGTAAGAAGAATGTGTTGTAAGGGGCTGAAAGTGTTGTAAAGTGCTGAATGTGTTGTAAGGTGTTGTAAAGTGCTAAATGTGTTGTAAAGTGCTGAATGTGTATTGAAGTGCTAAATGTGTTGTAAAGTGCTAAATGTGTTGTAAGGTGTTGAATTTGTTGTAAAGTGCTAAATGTGTTGTAAGGTGTTGAATTTGTGTTAAAGTGCTAAATGTGTTGTAAGGTGTTGAATGTGTTGTAAAGTGCTAAATGTGTTGTAAGGTGTTGAATTTGTTGTAAAGTGCTAAATGTGTTGTAAGGTGTTGAATTTGTTGTAAAGTGATAAATGTGTTGTAAGGTGTTGAATTTGTGTTAAAGTGCTAAATGTGTTGTAAGGTGTTGAATTTGTTGTAAAGTGCTAAATGTGTTGTAAGGTGTTGAATTTGTGTTAAAGTGCTAAATGTGTTGTAAGGTGTTGAATTTGTTGTAAAGTGCTAAATGTGTTGAATTTGTGTTAAAGTGCTAAATGCTTTGTAAGGTGTTGAATGTGTTGTAAAGTGCTAAATGTGTTGTAAGATGTTGAATGTGTTGTAAGGTGCTGAATGTGTTGTAAGGTGTTGAATTTGTTGTAAAGTGCTAAATGTGTTGTAAGGTGTTGAATTTGTTGTAAAGTGCTAAATGTGTTTTAAGTTGTTGAATGTGTTGTAAAGTGCTAAATGTGTTGTAAGGTGTTGAATTTGTTGTAAGGTGCTAAATGTGTTGTAAGGTGTTGAATTTGTTGTAAAGTGCTAAATGTGTTGTAAGGTGTTGAATTTGTTGTAAAGTGCTAAATGTGTTGTAAGGTGTTGAATTTGTTGTAAGGTGCTAAATATGTTGTAAGGTGTTGAATGTGTTGTAAGGTGCTAAATGTGTTGTAAGGTGCTATAAGTGTTGTAAGATGTAGAATTTGTTGTAAAGTGCTAAATGTGTTGTAAGGTGTTGAATGTGTTATAAAGTGCTAAATGTGTTATAAGGTGTTGAATTTGTTGTAAGGTGCTGAATGTGTTGTAAGGTGTTGAATTTGTTGTAAGGTGCTAAATGTGTTGTAAGGTGTTGAATTTGTTGTAAGGTGCTAAATGTGTTGTAAGGTGTTGAATTTGTTGTAAAGTGCTAAATGTGTTGTAAGGTGTTGAATTTGTTGTAAAGTGCTAAATGTGTTGTAAGGTGTTGAATTTGTTGTAAGGTGCTAAATATGTTGTAAGGTGTTGAATTTGTTGTAAGGTGCTAAATGTGTTGTAAGGTGCTATAAGTGTTGTAAGATGTAGAATTTGTTGTAAAGTGCTAAATGTGTTGTAAGGTGTTGAATGTGTTATAAAGTGCTAAATGTGTTGTAAGGTGTTGAATTTGTTGTAAGGTGCTAAATGTGTTGTAAGGTGTTGAATTTGTTGTAAGGTGCTAAATGTGTTGTAAGGTGTTGAATTTGTTGTAAAGTGCTAAATGTGTTGTAAGGTGTTGAATTTGTTGTAAAGTGCTAAATGTGTTGTAAGGTGTTGAATTTGTTGTAAGGTGCTAAATATGTTGTAAGGTGTTGAATTTGTTGTAAGGTGCTAAATGTGTTGTAAGGTGCTATAAGTGTTGTAAGATGTAGAATTTGTTGTAAAGTGCTAAATGTGTTGTAAGGTGTTGAATGTGTTATAAAGTGCTAAATGTGTTGTAAGGTGTTGAATTTGTTGTAAGGTGCTGAATGTGTTGTAAGGTGCTGCAAGTTTTGTAAGATGCTGTAATGTATTGTATCTGTGGTAATGAATTGTTAGTGTGGTAATGTGTTGTATGGGGAGTAATCTGTTGTACTGGTCCAATGTAAGTCAATGGGAAAAAGTGCTTGAACTTTTGTTAATATTTGAAAAAGTGCTAAAGGTGGAAGTTTAAAAAGTAATAGCAATAATGAGACGGTGAAGCCGGTCGTAACGATGTATAATTTGTTGAATTTGGTGAAAGCGTTGAGGAGTTGAAAAGTGCCAAAATCTGGCGGAAGTGGAAGAAGAAGAAGAAGAAGAAGAAGAAGAACTAGAAATGGTACAATGGCTGAAGCCATTGTGAGTGGCTGCATAGATGTTGGAAGGGTTAGGGATGAAGAAGGAAGGGGAAGAAGAAGGAAGAAGAAAGAAAAGGGAAGAAGAGGAAGAAGGGGAAGAATAGGAAGAAGGGGAAGAAGAGGAAGAAGGGGAAGAAGAGGAAGAAGAGGAAGAAGGGGAAGAAGAGGAAGAAGAGGAAGAAGAGGAAGAAGGGGAAGAAGGGGAAGAAGAGGAAGAAGAGAAAGAAGGGGAGAAGAGGAAGAAGGGGAAGAAGGGGGAGAAGAGGAAGAAGGGGAAGAAGGGGAAGAAGGGGGAGAAGAGGAAGAAGGGGAAGAAGAGGAAGAAGTGAAGATGAAGTAAGAAGAATGTGTTGTAAGGGGCAGAAAGTGTTGTAAAGTGCTAAATTTGTTGTAAAGTGCTGAATGTGTTGTAAGGTGTTGTAAAGTGCTAAATGTGTTGTAAAGTGCTTAATGTGTTGTAAAGTGCTAAATGTGTTGTAAGGTGTTGCATTTGTTGTAAGGTATTGAATGTGTTGTAAAGTGCTAAATGTGTTTTAAGGTGTTGAATGTGTTGTAAAGTGCTAAATGTGTTGTAAGGTGATTGTAATGTATTGAATGTTTTGTAAAGTGCTAAATTTGTTGTAAGGTGTTGAATTTGTTGTGAAGTGCTAAATGTGTTGTAAGGTGTTGAATTTGTTGTAAAGTGCTAAATGTGTTGTAAGGTGTTGAATTTGTTGTAAGGTGCTGAATTTGTTGTAAAGTGCTACATTTGTTGTAAGGTGTTGAATGTGTTCTAAAGTGCTAAATGTGTGGTAAGATGTTGAATTGGTTGTAAAGTGCTAAATGTGTTGTAAGATGTTGAATTTGTTGTAAAGTGTCAAATGTGTTGAATTTGTTGTGAATTGCTAAATGTGTTGTAAGGTGTTGAATGTGTTGTAAAGTGCTAAATGTGTTGTAAGGTGTTGAATGTGTTGTAAAGTGCTAAATGTGTTGTAAGGTGCTAAATGTGTTGTAAGGTGCTGTAAGTCTATGGGACAAAGTGCTTGAACTTTTGTTAATATCTGAAAAAGTGCAAAAGGTGGAAGTGTGAAAAGTAATAGCAATAATGAGACGGGGTAGCCGGTCGTAACGATGTATGATTTGTTGAATTTGGTGAAAGCGTTGAAGAGTTGAAAAGTGCCAAAATCTGGCGGAAGTGGAAGAAGAAGAAGAAGAACTAGAAATGGTACAATGGCTGAAGCCATTGTGAGTGGCTGCATAGATGTTGGAAGGGTTAGGGATGAAGAAGGAAGAGGAAGGGGAAGAAGAAGGAAGAAGAAAGAAAAGGGAAGAAGAGGAAAGAAGAAGAAGGAAGAGGAGGAGGAAGAAGAAGAAGGGGAAGAAGGGGAAGAAGAAGAAGAAGGGGAAGAAGGGGAAGAAGAGGAAGAAGGGGAAGATGAGGAAGAAGAGGAAGAAGGGGAAGAAGAGGAAGAAGGGGAAGAAGAGGAAGAAGTGAAGAAGATGAAGTAAGAAGAATGTGTTGTAAGGGGCTGAAAGTGTTGTAAAGTGCTGAATGTGTTGTAAGGTGTTGTAAAGTGCTAAATGTGTTGTAAAGTGCTGAATGTGTTGTAAAGTGCTGAATGTGTTGTAAAGTGCTGAATGTGTTGTAAAGTGCTAAATGTGTTGTAAAGTGCTGAATGTGTTGTAAAGTGCTAAATGTGTTGTAAGGTGTTGAATGTGTTGTAAAGTGCTAAATGTGTTGTAAGGTGTTGAATTTGTTGTAAAGTGCTAAATGTGTTGTAAGGTATTGAATGTTTTGTAAAGTGCTAAATGTGTTGTAAGGTGTTGAATGTGTTGTAAAGTGCTAAATGTGTTGTAAGGTGTTGAATTTGTTGTAAAGTGCTAAATGTGTTGTAAGGTGTTGAATTTGTTGTAAAGTGCTAAATGTGTTGTAAGGTGTTGAATTTGTGTTAAAGTGCTAAATGTGTTGTAAGGTGTTGAATTTGTGTTAAAGTGCTAAATGTGTTGTAAGGTGTTGAATTTGTTGTAAAGTGCTAAATGTGTTGTAAGGTGTTGAATTTGTTGTAAAGTGCTAAATGTGTTGTAAGGTGTTGAATTTGTTGTAAAGTGCTAAATGTGTTGTAAGGTGTTGAATTTGTTGTAAAGTGCTAAATGTGTTGTAAGGTGTTGAATGTGTTGTAAAGTGCATGTAAATGTGTTGTAAAGTGCTAAATGTGTTGTAAGGTGTTGAATTTGTTGTAAAGTGCTAAATGTGTTGTAAGGTGTTGAATTTGTTGTAAAGTGCTAAATGTGTTGTAAGGTGTTGAATTTGTTGTAAGGTGCTAAATGTGTTGTAAGGTGTTGAATTTGTTGTAAGGTGCTAAATGTGTTGTAAGGTGCTAAATGTGTTGTAAGGTGTTGAATTTGTTGTAAAGTGCTAAATGTGTTGTAAGGTGTTGAATTTGTTGTAAAGTGCTAAATGTGTTGTAATATGCTGTAAGTGTTGTAAGATGTTGTAATGTATTGTATCTGTGGTAATGAATTGTTAGTGTGGTAATGTGTTGTATGGGGAGTAATCTGTTGTACTGGTCCGATGTAAGTCAATGGAAAAAAGTGCTTGAACTTTTGTTAATATCTGAAAAAGTGCTAAAGGTGGAAGTGTAAAAAGTAATAGCAATAATGAGACGGTGAAGCCGGTCGTAACGATGTATAATTTGTTGAATTTGGTGAAAGCGTTGAAGAGTTGAAAAGTGCCAAAATCTGGCGGAAGTGGAAGAAGAAGAAGAAGAAGAAGAAGAAGAAGAAGAAGAAGAAGAAGAATAAACAGTAGGAGAGCATATAGTGGCTGCATATCTATGCAGCCACTCAATAAACAGTAGGAGAGCATATAGTGGCTGCATAGTCTATGCAGCCACTCAATAAACAGTAGGAGAGCATATAGTGCTGCATAGTCTATGCAGCCACTCAACTAGAAATGGTACAATGGCTGAAGCCATTGTGAGTGGCTGCAGATGTTGGAAGGGTTGGGATGAAGAAGGAAGAGGAAGGGGAAGAAGAAGGAAGAAGAAAGAAGAGGAAAGAAGAAGAAGGAAGAGGAGAAAGAAGGGGAAGAAGAGGAAGAAGAGGAAGAAGAGGAAGGAAGAGGAGACGAAGGGAAGAAGGGGAAGAAGACGAAGAAGAAGAAAGGAAGAAGGGGAAGAAGAGGAGAAGGGAAGAAGAGGAAGAAGGGGAAGAAGGGGAAGAGAAGAAGGAAGAAGGGAAGAAGAGGAAGAAGAGGAAGAAGTGTGAAGGGTAAGAAGAATGTGTTGTAAAGTGCTGAATGTGTTTTAAAGTGCTGAAATGTGTTGTAAGTGCTTAATATGTTGTAAAGTGCTAATGTGTTGTAAAGTGCTAAATGTGTTGTAAAGTATTGAATTTGTTGTAAAGTGCTAAATGTGTTGTAAGGTGTTGAATGTGTTGTAAAGTGCTAAATGTGTTGTAAAGTGTTGAATTTGTTGTAAAGTGCTAAATGTGTTGTATGGTATTGAATGTTTGTAAAGTGCTAAATGTGTTGTAAGGTGTTGAATGTGTTGTAAAGTGCTAAATGTGTTGTAAGGTGTTGAATTTGTTGTAAAGTGCTAAATGTGTTGTAAGGTGTTGAATGTTTGGTAAAGTGCTAAATGTGTTGTAAGGTGTTGAATGTGTTGTAAAGTGCTAAATGTGTTGTAAGTGTTGAATTTGTTGTAAGTGCTAAATGTGTTGTAAGGTGTTGAATTTGTTGTAAAGTGCTAAATGTGTTGTAAGGTGTTGAATGTGTTGTAAAGTGATAAATGTGTTGTAAGGTGTTGAATTTTTGTTGTAAAGTGTTGAATGTGTTGTAAAGTGCTAAATGTGTTGTAAGGTGTTGAATTGTTGTAAAGTGCTAAATGTGTTGTAAGGTGTCTGAATTTGTTGTTGTAAAGTGCTAAATGTGTTGTAAGGTGTTGAATTTGTTGTAAAGTGCTAAATGTGTTGTAAGGTGTTGAATTTGTTGTAAAGTGCTAAATGTGTTGTAAGATGTTGAATGTGTTGTAAGGTGCTAAATGTGTTGTAAGGTGTTGAATTTGTTGTAAAGTGCTAAATGTGTTGTAAGGTGTTGAATTTGTTGTAAAGTGCTAAATGTGTTGTAAGGTGTTGAATTTGTTGTAAAGTGCTAAATGTGTTGTAAGGTGTTGAATTTGTTGTAAAGTGCTAAATGTGTTGTAAGGTGTTGAATTTGTTGTAAAGTGCTAAATGTGTTGAATTTGTGTTAAAGTGCTAAATGTGTTGTAAGGTGTTGAATGTGTTGTAAAGTGCTAAATGTGTTGTAAGGTGTTGAATTTGTTGTAAAGTGCTAAATGTGTTGTAAGGTGTTGAATTTGTTGTAAAGTGCTAAATGTGTTGTAAGGTGTTGAATTTGTTGTAAAGTGCTGAATTTGTTGTAAAGTGCTGAATGTGTTGTAAGGTGCTTAATGTGTTGTAAAGTGCTAAATGTGTTGTAAGGTGCTGAATGTGTTGTAAAGTGCTAAATGTGTTGTAAGGTGTTGAATGTGTTTAAAGTCAAAATGTGTTGAATTTGTTGTAAAGTGCTAAATGTGTTGTAAGTTGTGTTAAAGTGCTAAATGTGTTGTAAGGTGTTGAATGTGTTGTAAAGTGCTAAATGTGTTGTAAGTTGTGTTGAATTTGTTGTAAAGTGCTAAATGTGTTGTAAGGTGTTGAATTTGTTGTAAAGTGCTAAATGTGTTGTAAGGTGTTGAATTTGTTGTAAAGTGCTAAATGTGTTGTAAGGTGTTGAATTTGTTGTAAAGTGCTAAATGTGTTGTAAGGTGTTGAATGTGTTGTAAAGTGCTAAATGTGTTGTAAGGTGTTGAATTTGTTGTAAAGTGCTAAATGTGTTGTAAGGTGTTGAATTTGTTGTAAAGTGCTAAATGTGTTGTAAGGTGTTGAATTTGTTGTAAAGTGCTAAATGTGTTGTAAGGTGTTGAATGTGTTGTAAAGTGCTAAATGTGTTGTAAGGTGTTGAATTTGTTGTAAGGTGTTGAATGTGTTGTAAAGTGCTAAATGTGTTGTAAGGTGTTGAATGTGTTGTAAAGTGCTAAATGTGTTGTAAGGTGTTGAATTTGTTGTAAAGTGCTAAATGTGTTGTAAGGTGTTGAATTTGTTGTAAAGTGCTAAATGTGTTGTAAGGTGTTGAATTTGTTGTAAAGTGCTAAATGTGTTGTAAGGTGTTGTAAGGTGTTGAATGTGTTGTAAAGTGCTAAATGTGTTGTAAGGTGTTGAATTTGTTGTAAGGTGCTGAATGTGTTGTAAGGTGTTGAATTTGTTGTAAAGTGCTAAATGTGTTGTAAGGTGTTGAATTTGTTGTAAAGTGCTAAATGTGTTGTAAGGTGTTGAATTTGTTGTAAAGTGCTAAATGTGTTGTAAGGTGTTGAATGTGTTGTAAGGTGCTAAATGTGTTGTAAGGTGTTGAATTTGTGTTAAAGTGTTAAATGTGTTGTAAGGTGTTTGAATTTGTTGTAAGGTGCTAAATGTGTTGTAAGGTGTTGAATTTGTTGTAAAGTGCTAAATGTGTTGTAAGGTGGTGAATGTTGTTGTAAAGTGCTAAATGTGTTGTAAGGTGTTGAATGTGTTGTAAAGTGCTAAATGTGTTGTAAGGTGTTGAATTTGTTGTAAAGTGCTAAATGTGTTGTAAGGTGTTGAATTTGTTGTAAGGTGCTAAATGTGTTGTAAGGTGTTGAATTTGTTGTAAAGTGCTAAATGTGTTGAATTTGTGTTAAAGTGCTAAATGTGTTGTAAGGTGTTGAATGTGTTGTAAAGTGCTAAATGTGTTGTAAGGTGTTGAATTTGTTGTAAAGTGCTAAATGTGTTGTAAGGTGTTGAATGTGTTGTAAAGTGCTAAATGTGTTGTAAGGTGTTGAATTTGTTGTAAGGTGCTGAATGTGTTGTAAGGTGTTGAATTTGTTGTAAAGTGCTAAATGTGTTGTAAGGTGTTGAATTTGTTGTAAAGTGCTAAATGTGTTGTAAGGTGTTGAATTTGTTGTAAAGTGCTAAATGTGTTGTAAGGTGCTGTAAGTGTTGTAAGATGTTGTAATGTATTGTATCTGTGGTAATGAATTGTTAGTGTGGTAATGTGTTGTATGGGGAGTAATCTGTTGTACTGGTCCAATGTAAGTCAATGGGAAAAAGTGCTTGAACTTTTGTTAATATCTGAAAAAGTGCTAAAGGTGGAAGTGTGAAAAGTAATAGCAATAATGAGACGGTGAAGCCGGTCGTAACGATGTATAATTTGTTGAATTTGGTGAAAGCGTTGAAGAGTTGAAAAGTGACAAAATCTGGCGGAAGTGGAAGAAGAAGAAGAAGAAAGAAGAAGAAGAAGAAGAAGAAGAAGAAGAATAAACAGTAGGAGAGCATATAGTGGCTGCATAGTCTATGCAGCCACTCAACTAGAAATGGTACAATGGCTGAAGCCATTGTGAGTGGCTGCATAGATGTTGGAAGGGTTAGGGATGAAGAAGGAAGAGGAAGGGGAAGAAGAAGGAAGAAGAAAGAAAAGGGAAGAAGAGGAAAGAAGAAGAAGGAAGAGGAGGAGGAAGAAGAAGAAGGGGAAGAAGGGGAAGAAGAGGAAGAAGGGGAAGAAGAGGAAGAAGGGGAAGAAGAGGAAGAAGAGGAAGAAGAGGAAGAAGAGGAAGAAGAGGAAGGGGAAGAAGAGGAAGAAGTGAAGAAGATGAAGTAAGAAGAATGTGTTGTAAGGGGCTGAAAGTGTTGTAAAGTGCTGAATGTGTTGTAAAGTGCTGAAAAAGTGCTAAATGTGTTGTAAAGTGCTGAATGTGTTGTAAAGTGCTGAATGTGTTGTAAAGTGCTGAATGTGTTGTAAAGTGCTGAATGTGTTGTAAAGTGCTGAATGTGTTGTAAAGTGCTAAATGTGTTGTAAAGTGCTGAATGTGTTGTAAAGTGCTAAATGTGTTGTAAAGTGCTAAATGTGTTGTAAGGTGTTGAATTTGTTGTAAAGTGCTAAATGTGTTGTAAGGTATTGAATTTGTTGTAAGGTATTGAATGTTTTGTAAAGTGCTAAATGTGTTGTAAGGTGTTGAATGTGTTGTAAAGTGCTAAATGTGTTGTAAGGTGTTGAATTTGTTGTAAAGTGCTAAATGTGTTGTAAGGTGTTGAATGTGTTGTAAAGTGCTAAATGTGTTGTAAGGTGTTGAATGTGTTGTAAAGTGCTAAATGTGTTGTAAGGTGTTGAATGTGTTGTAAAGTGCTAAATGTGTTGTAAGGTGTTGAATTTGTTGTAAAGTGCTAAATGTGTTGTAAGGTGTTGAATGTGTTGTAAAGTGCTAAATGTGTTGTAAGGTGTTGAATTTGTTGTAAGGTGCTGAATGTGTTGTAAGGTGTTGATTTTGTTGTAAAGTGCTAAATGTGTTGGTAAGGTGTTGAATGTGTTGTAAAGTGCTAAATGTGTTGTAAGGTGTTGAATTTGTTGTAAAGTGCTGAATGTGTTGTAAGGTGTTGAATTTGTTGTGTTGAATTTGTTGTAAAGTGCTGTAAGGTGTTGAATGTGTTGTAAAGTGCTAAATGTGTTGTAAGGTGTTGAATGTGTTGTAAGGTGCTAAATGTGTTGTAAGGTGTTGAATTTGTTGTAAGGTGTTGAATGTGTTGAATGTGTTGTAAAGTGCTAAATGTGTTGTAAGGTGTTGAATGTGTTGTAAAGTGCTAAATGTGTTGTAAGGTGTTGAATTTGTTGTAAAGTGCTAAATGTGTTGTAAGGTGTTGAATGTGTTGTAAAGTGCTAAATGTGTTGTAAGGTGTTGAATGTGTTGTAAGGTGCTGAATGTGTTGTAAGGTGTTGAATTTGTTGTAAAGTGCTAAATGTGTTGTAAGGGTGTTGAATTTGTTGTAAAGTGCTAAATGTGTTGTAAGGTGTTGAATGTGTTGTAAAGTGCTAAATGTGTTGTAAGGTGTTGAATTTGTTGTAAGGTGCTGAATGTGTTGTAAGGTGTTGAATTTGTTGTAAAGTGCTAAATGTGTTGTAAGGTGTTGAATTTGTTGTAAAGTGCTAAATGTGTTGTAAGGTGTTGAATGTGTTGTAAAGTGCTAAATGTGTTGTAAGGTGCTGTAAGTGTTGTAAGATGTTGTAATGTATTGTATCTGTGGTAATGAATTGTTAGTGTGGTAATGTGTTGTATGGGGAGTAATCTGTTGTACTGGTCCAATGTAAGTCTATGGGAAAAAGTGCTTGAACTTTTGTTAATATCTGAAAAAGTGCTAAAGGTGGAAGTGTGAAAAGTAATAGCAATAATGAGACGGTGAAGCCGGTCGTAACGATGTATAATTTGTTGAATTTGGTGAAAGCGTTGAAGAGTTGAAAAGTGCCAAAATCTGGCGGAAGTGGAAGAAGAAGAAGAAGAAGAAGAAGAAGAACTACAGTAGAAATGGTACAATGGCTGAAGCCATTGTGAGTGGCTGCATAGATGTTGGAAGGGTTAGGGATGAAGAAGGAAGAGGAAGGGGAAGAAGGAAGAAGAAAGAAAAGTGAAGAAGAGGAAAGAAGAAGAAGGAAGAGGAGGAGGAAGAAGAAGGGGAAGAAGAAGAAGGGGAAGAAGAAGAAGAGGAAGAAGGGGAAGAAGAGGAATAAGGGGAAGAACAGGAAGAACAGGAAAAAGGGGAAGAAGGGGAAGAAGAGGAAGAAGAGGAAGAAGAGGAAGAAGGGGAAGAAGGGGGAGAAGGGGAAGAAGAGGAAGAAGGGAAGAAGAGGAAGAAGGGGAAGAAGGAGAAGAAGAGGAAGAAGGGGAAGAACAGGAAGAAGTGGAAGAACAGGAAGAAGAGGAAGAAGGGGAAGAAGAGGAAGAAGGGAAGAAGAGGAAGAAGAGGAAGAAGGGGAAGAAGGAGAAGAAGAGGAAGAAGGGGAAGAACAGGAAGAAGTGGAAGAACAGGAAGAAGAGGAAGAAGGGGAAGAAGGGGGAGAAGGGGAAGAAGAGGAAGAAGAGGAATAAGGGGACGAAGGAGAAGAAGAGGAAGAAGGGGAAGAACAGTGCTAAATGTGTTGTAAAGTGCTGAATGTGTTGTAAAGTGCTGAATGTGTTGTAAAGTGCTAAATGTGTTGTAAGGTGTTGAATGTGTTGCAAGGTGCTAAATGTGTTGAATTTGTTGTAAGGTGCTGAAGGTGTTGAATTTGTTGTAAAGTGCTAAATGTGTTGAATTTGTGTTAAAGTGCTAAATGTGTTGTAAGGTGTTGAATTTGTTGTAAAGTGCTAAATGTGTTGTAAGGTGTTTAATTTGTTGTAAAGTGCTAAATGTGTTGAATTTGTGTTAAAGTGCTAAATGTGTTGTAATGTGTTGAATTTGTGTTAAAGTGCTAAATGTGTTGTAAGATGTTAAATGTGTTGCAAGGTGTTGTAAAGTGCTAAATGTGTTGAATGTGTTGTAAAGTGCTAAATGTGTTGTAAGGTGTTGAATTTGTGTTAAAGTCTTAAATGTGTTGAATTTGTTGTAAAGTGCTAAATGTGTTGAATTTGTGTTAAAGTGCTAAATGTGTTGTAAGGTGTTGAATTTGTTGTAAAGTACTAAATGTGTTGTAAGGTGTTGAATTTGTGTTAAAGTGCTAAATGTGTTGTAAGGTGTTGAATTTGTTGTAAAGTGCTAAATGTGTTGTAAGGTGTTGAATTTGTGTTAAAGTGCTAAATGTGTTGTAAAGTGCTAAATCTGTTGTAAGGTGCTGTAAGTGTTGTAAGATGTTGTAATGTATTGTATCTGTGGTAATGAATTGTTAGTGTGGTAATGTGTTGTATGGGGAGTAATCTGTTGTACTGGTCCAATGTAAGTCTATGGGAAAAAGTGCTTGAACTTTTGTTAATATCTGAAAAAGTGCTAAAGGTGGAAGTGTGAAAAGTAATAGCAATAATGAGACGGTGAAGCCGGTCGTAACGATGTATAATTTGTTGAATTTGGTGAAAGCGTTGAAGAGTTGAAAAGTGCCAAAATCTGGCGGAAGTGGAAGAAGAAGAAGAAGAAGAAGAAGAAGAAGAAGAAGAAGAAGAAGAACTAGAAATGGTACAATGGCTGAAGCCATTGTGAGTGGCTGCATAGATGTTGGAAGGGTTAGTGATGAAGAAGGAAGAGGAAGGGGAAGAAGAAGGAAGAAGAAAGAAAAGGGAAGAAGAGGAAAGAAGAAGAAGGACGAGGAGGAGGAAGAAGAAGAAGGGGAAGAAGAAGAAGAAGAGGAAGAAGAGGAAGAAGGGGAAGAAGAGGAAGAAGAGGAAGAAGGGGAAGAAGAGGAAGAAGTGAAGAAGATGAAGTAAGAAGAATGTGTTGTAAGGGGCTGAAAGTGTTGTAAAGTGCTGAATGTGTTGTAAAGTGCTGAATGTGTTGTAAAGTGCTGAATGTGTTGTAAAGTGCTGAATGTGTTGTAAAGTGCTGAATGTGTATTAAAGTGCTAAATGTGTTGTAAAGTGCTAAATGTGTTGTAAGGTGTTGAATTTGTTGTAAAGTGCTAAATGTGTTGTAAGGTATTGAATGTGTTGTAAAGTGCTAAATGTGTTGTAAGGTGTTGAATTTGTTGTAAAGTGCTAGATGTGTTGTAAGGTGTTGCATTTGTTGTAAAGTGCTAAATGTGTTGTAAGGTGTTGAATTTGTGTTAAAGTGCTAAATGTGTTGTAAGGTGTTGAATTTGTGTTAAAGTGCTAAATGTGTTGTAAGGTGTTGAATTTGTTGTAAAGTGCTAAATGTGTTGTAAGGTGTTGAATGTGTTGTAAAGTGCTAAATGTGTTGTAAGGTGTTGAATGTGTTGTAAAGTGCTAAATGTGTTGTAAGGTGTTGAATGTGTTGTAAAGTGCTAAATGTGTTGTAAGGTGTTGAATGTGTTGTAAAGTGCTAAATGTGTTGTAAGGTGTTGAATTTGTTGTAAGGGGCTGAATGTGTTGTAAGGTGTTGAATTTGTTGTAAAGTGCTAAATGTGTTGTAAGGTGTTGAATTTGTTGTAAAGTTCTAAATGTGTTGTAAGGTGTTGAATTTGTTGTAAGGTGCTGAATGTGTTGTAAGGTGTTGAATTTGTTGTAAAGTGCTAAATGTGTTGTAAGGTGAATTTGTTGTAAGGTGCTAAATGTGTTATAAGGTGTTGAATTTGTTGTAAAGTGCTAAATGTGTTGTAATGTGCTGTAAGTGTTGTAAGATGTTGTAATGTATTGTATCTGTGGTGATGAATTGTTAGTGTGGTAATGTGTTGTATGGGGAGTAATATGTGGTACTGGTCCAATGTAAGTTTATGGGAAAAAGTGCTTGAACTTGTGTTAATATCTGAAAAAGTGCTAAAGGTGGAAGTGTGAAAAGTAATAGCAATAATGAGACGGTGAAGCCGGTCGTAACGATGTATAATTTGTTGAATTTGGTGAAAGCGTTGAAGAGTTGAAAAGTGCCAAAATCTGGCGGAAGTGGAAGAAGAAGAAGAAGAAGAAGAAGAAGAAGAAGAAGAAGAAGAAGAAGAAGAAGAATAAACAGTAGGAGAGCATATAGTGGCTGCATAGTCTATGCAGCCACTCAACTAGAAATGGTACAATGGCTGAAGCCATTGTGAGTGGCTGCATAGATGTTGGAAGGGTTAGGGATGAAGAAGGAAGAAGAAGGAAGAAGAAAGAAAAGGGAAGAAGGGGAAAGACGAAGAAGGAAGAGGAGGAGGAAGAAGAAGAAGGGGAAGAAGGAGAAGAAGAGGAAGAAGGGGAAGAAGAGGAAAAGGGGAAGAAGAGGAAGAAGAGGAAGAAGAGGAAGAAGGGGAAGAAGAGGAAAAAGGGGAAGAAGAGGAAGAAGAGCAAGAAGAGGAAAAAGGGGAAGAAGAGGAAGAAGAGGAAGAAGAGGAAGAAGGGGAAGAAGAGGAAGAAGGGGAAGAAGAGGAAAAAGGGAAAGAAGAGGAAGAACAGGAAGAAGAGGAAGAAGGGGAAGAAGAGGAAGAAGAGGAAGAAGGGGAAGAAGAGGAAGAAGGGGAAGAACAGGAAGATGAGGAAGAAGAGGAAGAAGGGGAAGAAGGGAAAGAAGAGGAAGAAGGGGAAGAATAGGAAGAAGTAAGAAGAATGTGTTGTAAGGGACTGAATGTGTTGTAAAGTGCTAAATACGTTGTAAAGTGCTAAATGTGTTGAAAGGTGTTGAATTTGTTGTAAAGTGCTAAATGTGTTGTAAGGTGTTGAATTTGTTGTAAAGTGCTAAATGTGTTGTAAAGTGCTAAATGTGTTGTAAGGTATTGAATTTGTTTTAAGGTGTTGAATGTGTTGTAAAATGCTAAATGTGTTGAATTTGTTGTAAAGTGCTAAATGTGTTGTAAGGTGTTGAATGTGTTGTAAAGTGCTAAATGTGTTGTACAGTGTTGAATTTGTTGTAAGGTGCTGAATGTGTTGTAAGGTGTTGAATTTGTTGTAAAGTGCTAAATGTGTTGTAAGGTGTTGAATTTGTTGTAAAGTGCTAAATGTGTTCTAAGGTGTTGAATTTGTTGTAAAGTGCTAAATGTGTTGTAAGGTGTTGAATGTGTTGTAAGGTGCTGAATGTGTTGTAAGGTGTTGAATTTGTTGTAAAGTGCTAAATGTGTTGAATTTGTTGTAAAGTGATAAATGTGTTGTAAGGTGTTGAATTAGTTTTAAAGTGCTAAATGTGTTGTAAGGTGCTGTAAGTGTTGTAAGATGTTGTAATGTATTGTATCTGTGGTGATGAATTGTTAGTGTGGTAATGTGTTGTATGGGGAGTAATCTGTTGTACTGGTCCAATGTAAGTCTATGGGAAAAAGTGCTTGAACTTTTGTTAATATCTGAAAAAGTGCTAAAGGTGGAAGTGTGAAAAGTAATAGCAATAATGAGACGGTGAAGCCGGTCGTAACGATGTATAATTTGTTGAATTTGGTGAAAGCGTTGAAGAGTTGAAAAGTGCCAAAATCTGGCGGAAGTGGAAGAAGAAGAAGAAGAAGAAGAAGAAGAAGAAGAAGAAGAAGAAGAAGAATAAACAGTAGGAGAGCATATAGTGGCTGCATAGTCTATGCAGCCACTCAACTAGAAATGGTACAATGGCTGAAGCCATTGTGAGTGGCTGCATAGATGTTGGAAGGGTTAGGGATGAAGAAGGAAGAGAAAAGGGAAGAAGAGGAAAGAAGAAGAAGGAAGAGGAGGAGGAAGAAGAAGAAGGGGAAGAAGGGGAAGAAGAAGAAGGGGAAGAAGAGGAAGAAGGGGAAGAAGAGGAAGAAGAGGAAGAAGGGGAAGAAGGGGAAGAAGAGGAAGAAGAAGAAGAAGAAGGGGAAGAAGAGGAAGAAGGGGAAGAAGAGGAAGAAGTGAAGAAGATGAAGTAAGAAGAATGTGTTGTAAGGGGCTGAAAGTGTTGTAAAGTGCTGAATGTGTTGTAAAGTGATAAATGTGTTGTAAAGTGCTGAATGTGTTGTAAAGTGCTGAATGTGTTGTAAAGTGATAAATGTGTTGTAAAGTGCTGAATGTGTATTAAAGTGCTAAATGTGTTGTAAAGTGCTAAATGTGTTGTAAGGTGTTGAATGTGTTGTAAAGTGCTAAATGTGTTGAATTTGTTGTAAAGTGCTAAATGTGTTGTAAGGTGTTGAATTTGTTGTAAGGTGCTGAATGTGTTGTAAGGTGTTGAATTTGTTGTAAAGTGCTAAATGTGTTGTAAGGTGTTGAATTTGTTGTAAAGTGCTAAATGTGTTGTAAGGTGTTGAATTTGTTGTAAAGTGCTAAATGTGTTGTAAGGTGTTGAATTTGTTGTAAAGTGCTAAATGTGTTGTAAGGTGTTGAATTTGTTGTAAAGTGCTAAATGTGTTGTAATGTGTTGAATTTGTTGTAAAGTGCTAAATGTGTTGTAAGGTGTTGAATTTGTTGTAAAGTGCTAAATGTGTTGTAAGGTGTTGAATTTGTTGTAAAGTGCTAAATGTGTTGTAAGGTGTTGAATTTGTTGTAAGGTGCTGAATGTGTTGTAAGGTGTTGAATTTGTTGTAAAGTGCTAAATGTGTTGTAAGGTGTTG